TTTCTTTCTTTCTTTCTTTCTTTCTTTCTTTCTTTCTTTCTTTCTTTCTTTCTTTCTTTCTTTCTTTCTTTCTTTCTTTCTTTCTTCCTTCCTTCCTTCCTTCCTTCCTTCCTTCCTTCCTTCCTTCCTTCCTTCCTTCCTTCCTTCCTTCCTTTCTTTTTCTTTCTTTTTCTTTCTTTCTTCCCTCCCTCCCTCTCTCCCTCCCTTCCATCTTTTTTTTTTTTTGAGCCCAGGTTTCTCTGTGTAGCCTTGGCTGTCCTGGGACTCTTTTTATAGACCAGGCTGGCCTTGAACTCACAGAGATCCACCTGCCTCTGCCTTCCAAGTGCTGTGAGTAAAGGCGTGTGCCACCACTGCCTGAGACATAGCCTTTCAATAAACCCAGAACTCACTATGTATCTATACTAGCTGGCTAAGGAATTTCTCTGCCTCCCCAGTATTGGTGCTACAGGCATACTCCATCACCCTTGGCTTTTCTCTAGGTTCTGGTATCTGAACTGTGGTCCTCATATTTGTACTTTGCCCACTGAGCCATCTCTCCAGCACCCAATTTTGATTTCTTGGTAATGTAAATTTTTCTAATAAAAGCTCTATTATGTCTTTTAGTGTTCTAAGCATATAACAAACTCAGATTGTGAACTCACTGAGTGATGCAAATTGTTTTTAAATATTTTTGGTCATGGGACATTGAAAACATTAGGCTTCCTGGCATGATAGTGTTCATCTTTAATCCGAGCACTATGAGGCAAGTAGATTGCTTGTGAATTTGAGGCCAGCCTGGTGTACATAGGGAGTTCCAGGCCAGCCAGGGTTACACAGTGAAATCCTGTCTCAAAGAGACAGAGACAGATTGAGCTTAGGTTTGTGGTGTAATTTTTCACACTAAAAAACTACTTTACAGTTTCATGTTAGGAATATCACAGACATAATTGTAGCTGGAGAGCTTCACTCCAGTCCGGCCAAGCCCCGGCAGTCTGACAGCCCACTTATAAAATAAACACACAGACTCTTATATTATTTACAAACTGTATGGCCGTGGCAGGCTTCTTGCTAACTGTTCTTTTATCTTAAATTAACCCATTTCTATAAATCTATACCTTGCCACATGGCTCATGGCTTACCAGCATCTTCACATGCTGCTTGTCATGGTGGTAACTGGCAGTGTCTCTCCGCCTCAGCCTTCCACTTCCCAGAATTCTCTTCTCTGCTTGTCCTGCCTATACTTCCTGCCTAGCTACTGTCTAATCAGTGTTTTTATACAGAGCAATATCCACAGCACATAATTTTTGATTCAAACTAAGAACTGATAATATATACAAGTGCTAGACTTTAAAGCTTAGGTAGTAAATGCTACTGTGAAAATACACATATGCCTGTATTTCCTAAGAGTATATGTGTATATACCTATATATGCAAATATGCATATATATGTTGTCTATGAGAGAAATTTAAAAGTTAAAAATGTACCTATTTGAAGAAATTAAACCTTTTATAGCTATACAATCAATGGGAAGAATAATTTCTACTAAGAAAAGTAAAAGCCATTAGAACAGAAGTTGCACATACTGTTTGGGACCTAAGAAGTGGTGAAGCTCTGCATAACATCACTAGAAGTTAGATAGCTTCAAACTCATGGATTTAAAAAGCTAAGCATAAAATGTAGAGAACAGGGCTGGCCAGTGGTAGAACACACCTTTAATCCTAGCACTCGGAAGGCAGAGGCAGGTGGATCTCTGGTCTACAGAGCATCTTCCAGGACAGCTAGGGCTACACAGAGAAACCCTGTCTTGAAAAACCAAAAGGGAGAGGGGAGAGAAAATGGCAGCCCCTGCTCCAGCTGGGTGATGGGTTCTTAGTAAACAAAAAGACACCCTGTTTGAGTACTGGCTGCCTCTTATATGGGTAAGGGAATATGTATGATATGAGTATTGTCACATATGAATCATATCAAAAAGCAAGAAACTAAATAATCATGCATACCTCTGTGTTAAAAGCAAACAGCCACCTTTTTTGTCAGAAGACAGACACTAGTTGCCCTTGGTTTGTTTGCAGCTAGGATTCTTTTTTGTTTTGGTTTGGTTTTTTTGTTTTTTGTTTTTGTTTAGTTTTTCAAGACAGGATTTCTCTGTTAGTCCTGGCTGTCCTAGAACTCTCTCAGAGATCCACCTGCCTCTGCCTCCTGAGTGCTGGGATTAAAGGCATGGGCCACCAAGTCCAGCTGCAGATGGATTCTAAAAGTGTAGTCTGAGGTGCAGGGTTTTTATCCTTTGATTTCCTTAGATGGGTCTTTATCACTATGACTTGGTAAAGCTGTGCTTGTAAAATGCCATCCATCCAGTACAAGATACCTAATAGCAGTCACAGAGGCACTGAAAAAATGTCAAACTAGCTAAGTGTGATGACACACACCTAAGGCAAGAGGATCAGTTCAAGGCTGGCCTAGGCTCCATGGTAACATCCTGTAAAACATTTGTAGTTTGTATGGGTTAACCCTGTCACTTCTAGGACTTGGTGAAGTTTATTGATAGTTAGCAGAGGAGGCAGTGGTAGACTGTTTCTCTCAGAAACACTCACTAGTGACTCTGATTTCTGGTAGAAAACTCTACACCTCGTGCCCACCCCATACCGCACTGCTGTGGATGCTGTGTTCCAGCTTTGCTGTGGTTCTCCTGGCAGGCCAGAAGCGGACTCCTAGAAGAGGGGAGCAGCAAGGATGGAACGGCAGCCGGGGGACAGACGTGTTTGATAGAGCAGAGCGGAGGTCCTACAGGGAACATCGACTCTATGACACTGAGAGACAGGCAGACTGGACAGCGGAGAAGTTTACAGATGAAAAGTATGTACCTCAGTCCTCGGTTAGGGTGGCCGGGGCCCCAGAGATTGCCAGATAACTACTAGGCTTTGTGACATTTCTGTGGTGGCAGTCCTACGAATAATTTGCCAAGGTAAGTCTCAAGTCATGTTGCCTTCTGTAGAACATGAAGGATCTTCCATTTACCTATATCTTAGTTCAGGAAATGATTGTACAATTAACAATTAATTGTGGCCAGGTGATGGGCGCACACCTTTAATCCCATCACTCGGGAAGCAGAGGCAGGCAGATCTCTGTGAGTTCGAGGCCAGACTGGTCTACAGAGAGAGTTCCAGAACAGCCAGGGATACACAGAGAAACCCTGTCTTGAAAAAAAATGGGGGCTTGGGGTGTAGCTTAGTGTTTGAGCTCTTGCCTACCATGCACAAAGTTCAAAGCACAGAAGGAGTATTTGGGGTACATATGAAAGGCCTTATGTTTGTGGATTTGTCCTGTGTGTATGTATGTGAACTCTGGAATCAGTTCCCCTGGATCTAGAGTTACAGATGGTTGTGAGCCACCATGTAGGTACTGGAAATCAAGCCCAGGTCATTTGGAAGAGGAGCCAGTGCTCTTAACCACTGAACCATCTCTCTGACCCCTGAAAACCCTCATGTTAAAACAACAACAACAAAACACATGCACACACATACACACAAAATATGTTGAACAGGTTAAAAATTCTTTTGAAGTTAGATTAGGAAACTAATTTTGGGCATAGGGATATAATTACAGTGAGTTTAGCAGTTGTCCCATGACCTCCTCGTGTACACTGTGGTGCATGTATGTTCATGCACAAACAAACAATAAATGTGAAAAAACAAAACCAGTAAATACCTACCCATCTTGCCATCTGAGATGACCGCCTTTCAGGCTTTGGCCTATTTTCCCATCTGTTAATCTACCAAGGTGGTAGAGTCTTAGTTATTTTTCTTCCTTTCTTTCTTTCTTTTTTTTAATTTACTTTTTAAAAAATTTTATTTGTATTTTATGTACATTGGTGATTTGCCTGCATCTGTCTGTGTGAGGGTGTTGGATTCCCTGGAAGAGGAGTTACAGACAGTTGTGAGCTGCCATGTGGATACTGGGAATTGAACCCAGGTCCTAAGAGCAGTCAGTGCTCTTAACTGCTGAGCCATCTCTCTAGCCCCATTAGTTATTTTTCTATTGCTGTGATGACTTATCATGATCAAGGCAACTTATGAAAAAAAATAAGCATTTAATTGGGGTCTTAAAGTTTCAGAGTGTGAGTCTTTAACCATCATGTCAGGGAGCATGGCAGCAGGCAGCAGGCAGGCATGGTTCTGGAGCAGTAGCTGAGAGCTCACATCTGATCTGTAACCACAAGGCAGAGATCAAGCTAACTGAGGCAGCAATGGACTAGTGAGGGCTTTTGAAAACTCAAAGCCCACCCCCCATGACACACACCTCCTTCAACAAAACCACACCTTCTAATTCTTCCCATACCTCTAGTCCTTCCCAAACAGTTCCACCAACTAAAAACCAAGCATTCAAACATATGACCCTATGGGGGCCATTCTCATTCAACCACAGATGGTAATGCATACATGGTGACCATGCCATACCCTTTCATTTCTTCTTGACATATTATGAGGGTTTCCCATGTGATGATCAGCAGTGTTTGCTCAGTGTTTTCAGTTGTGTGTTAATTGCACATGATGTGTTATTGCATACTGCACTTAGTGGCTGTCTTGTGACCTATTATTTGGATGAATCATTTGTTACCACTTGCTTAGTGCTACTAGGCAAGTGCTTGGCTCAGCATTAGGCTTTATAAATGATGCTTGGGAGCAGAAGCAGCTTTTGATCTGTGTAAGACATTTCCTCAGTAGAGTCCTGGAATTAGAGTGCCGGTTGAGGTTGTAAAGCTGTGACTCTCAGGCAGGTGACCTATATCTGCCTCCGGCTTTAGTACAAAATTGGATGAATAGAGATGGTATAAAAACAGACAAAATTGGGGCCAGGTGACAAACCACTGTCCTAACTACCTGTTAGTTTGCTTTGTCACTTATCTGTGATAGATAGCATCTCCATGGCATATTCTGCAAACTGGGCTGTAATCCAGGTTGATTTTTGCTTATTTGAATTTCTTGATTCATGTTTCTTGATTCATGTTACTAGACAGAATTATAAAAAATTTTTTTATCTTAAAAGAGTCTAAATTCAGCCCTTTCAACTTACAGATGGAAAACAGATATCCAGAGTTGGAGTGACTCTGGTCTCAGCTAGTTGACAAGGATGTTGTACAGTCAGAACACATGTTTTCCTTCAGAAGCGATATCCTATGTGTGAGGAGTTGACCGAACCAGGATCAGATGCAGAGAACAGTCATGTTGGTGTGTGTGGATCTGGGATGCAGATATTCCTTTCAGCGAAGCAGAAGCTTTTCCTTAGGCCTCTTAATGAACTTAATTGAACCCTCTGAACATAGACTTATTAGGTTTGGCAGGTAAGAGCACTTGCTGTTCTTCCAGAGGAACTGAGTTTGTGAGCACACTTACCAGGCAGTGTAACTCCAGCTCTAGGGGATCCGATGCCCTGTTCTGGCCTCCAAGAGCACACACAGGGATGTTTGTATAGATATAGATTCACACAGGAATACACATAAATAAAGATAAAATAAGCACTGTGTAGTGGTGGCGCATGCCTTTAATCCCAGCACTTGGGAGGCAGAGGCAGGCGGATCTCTGAGTTTGAGGCCAGCCTGGTCTATAGAGCTAGTTTCAGGAAAGCCAAGGCTGTTAACACAGTGAAACCTTGTCTCAAAATAAATAAATAAAATAAATATTAAGACACACCAAAGTCTTTACTGTCTTGGTCACAGGGTAGAAGAAGGTTCAGTATGTTAAAGATTTCAGCTCCAAATATCACCTTCTGGCTGTGTGTTTAGAGATTTGGAGGGACAATATTTAAAGTTGAAGCATTTTTCTTACACAAAATATTCCTCATTAAATGTTTAATACCAAGACAGGAAAGAATCTTCACATTAGCACAATCATTGTATATAAATGAGGAAACTGGATCTACAGAGTGAAAGCCATGCCCCCACCAGTTGAGAACCAGAACCTGTGCTCCCTACCTGGTACCCATGTGACCTTGGGCAAATTCCTTCCTCTGCTGCTTCGGGTTCTCATCTCTTTAACAGCAGCTCTGTATACTAGACTTGGTTGTGAGAATTAAAATGCTATGTGTAAGTAAGTGCTCAGAGCAGTACCAGGGTCAGTATGTTCAGTGGTTAACTATCAGTTTAGTCAAGCCACCATGCTTTCTGATATACTATAACCATAACTGCCTGTGTTTTTCTCAAAAAGGTTTCAGATCTTTTAAGTCCATTTCACCACTTTTCTTTATACCTGTCTTTTCCTAGACCAGTTGACAGGTTTGATCGAGACAGACCACCGAGAGGACGTGGAGGCCCCAGAGGAGGCCTGAGGAGCAGAGGCCGAGGTGGTCCTGGGAACAGAGCTTTTGACTCCTTTGACCAAAGAGGGAAACGAGATTTTGAAAGATACAGTAGCAATGATAAAGTGTAAGCTGCTTTGCCTATGCCATTTCCACTTTAGATTGTGTGTCTGTTGATGACCAGCTGTGCTGGTCTGTTTATGAGTGTGCTGTCTGTCATTCCTGTGGGGGCAGGATTTTATTCTTTTAAAGATTTACTTTTTTTAAAGATTATGTGTATCTTAGCTGGGCGGTGGTGGTGCACACCTTTAATCCCAGCATTTGGAGGCAGAGGCAGGCGGATCTCAGTGAGTTCGAGGCCAGCCTGGTCCACAAAGCGAGTTCCAGGATAGCCAGGAATGTTACATAGAGAAACACTGTCTGGGGGGGGGGGTAAGGGGGGGAACATTATGTGTATCTGTGTGTGTGTTGTGGGGGTGGGCTGCCCCATTCATGAGTGCACTGTGACAGAGCCAGGAAACAATGTCAGATTCCCTGGTGCTGTCTGATGTAGGTACTGGAGATTAAACTCAGGTCCTTTGTAAGAGCAGTATGCACTGAGATACCTCTGCAGACTCTGGGGCATTGCTTTCTGATTGGGAGACTGCTGAGGAGCAGACTCCACCTCAAGTTAATATGACTATTCTTTGTTTCTTCAGAGCAAACAAAATGGAGGACAGCATGGGTGGCTGTGGTGTTCGCCCCTGGGGATCAGGTAAAGACACTAGGTAAGGTATAAGGATGTGTTCTGAGAGCCTGCAGGAATGGGAGTCTCAGAACCGTGGCTTTTTAAAAACTATGTTCTCTCTGGTTCTGTTTGTCAAGTAGAGGTTGATATGGATTGTTGTTTAGAGCGTGTGTGTGTGTGTGTGTGTGTGTGTGTGTGTGTGTGTGTGTGTGTGTACGTGTGTATACGCCTGGGATTGACTGAATCAGGAGAAAGCTTTTTAAAACATAGTTATGTTTATTTAGACTAAAAACTGTTTTTAAAGGTCTGTTTATTTAGTTACTTTATTTATTTGAGACAGAGTCTCACCATACAGCCCTGGATGGCCTGGAACTCATTATATAGACCAGGCTGGTCCAGAATTTACAGAGATCATCCTACCTCTGCCTCCCAATCAAAAGCATATGCCACCATACCTGACCCCCAAAGGTCTATTATTTTATCTTAGCTAAGTTATACCTGACAGGTGGCCACATATATGTTCATATATTTTAAGCATATGGTATGGCACACTTGCACATCTCAGAATGCATTTTTTTTTTTTTTAATATTTGAGATAGGGTCTCACTATTTGGCCCAGATTGTCATTAATCCTTCTGTCTCAGCTTCCCAAGTGCTGGGGTTATAGACATATGCATTACACCCAACCTGTACTTTATTTTTCTGTGAGCTTCCAAAGTTCTTACAGATCTTTATTTGGTATAGTTCTTTGCAGGGTCTGAACATGTGGCTCAGTTAGAAGAGCACTTGCCTAGTATGCACAGTACTCTGGGCTTGACCCCCAGCAATGTTTAAACTGGGAGTGGTGGTGAATGCCTTTAATCCCAGGTTCTGAAGTTCAAGGTTATCTTCAGCAATATAATGAGTTCAAAGAAAGCCTGGTAAACATGAAGCCTTGTCTCAAATTGAGTACTTGCTGCTCTTAAAAGGGACCTGAGTTTCAGGAGCGTTGAATCCCTCTTCTAGCTTCAGTGGGCACTGCACCCACATGGTACATATATAGGCACACACACACACACACACACACACACACACACACACACACACACACACACACAGAGAGAGAGAGAGAGAGAGAAAATAAGCCTTTAAAAAGTTGAAAGTTGGAATCCTTTTTTTTATATAATTTTTGGAGATTTATTTATTTTATGTATATTGTGCTGTATCTGCACGTACACCTGCATGTCAGAAGAGGGCATCAGATCCCATTACAGATGGCTGTGAGCCACCATGTGGTTTCTAGGTATTGAACTCAGGACCTCTGGAAGAGCTGCCAATGCTCCTAACCACTGAACCATCTCTCTAACCCCCAAAAGTTGGAATTCTTGCCAGACTTGGTAGCATATACCTTAGATCTCAGCACTTGGAGGGAGGAAGCATTGCAGAGGCAGGTAGATTTATATGTGAGTTTGAGGCTAACCTGGTCTACACAGTGATTTCTAAGCCACTCAGGGATACACAGACTTTTTCTCAAAAATAAAATAATATAAAAAGTGTAAAAAAAAAAACAAAAACAAAAAAAAAACTGATTCTCCAGTATAATTCTCCAGAGTTTGGATTTTTTTTCCCTGATCTGTTTGTTTGTTTGTTTATTTATTTATTTATTTATTTATTTATTTATTTATTTATTTTTTAATAAATGTCTGTTCTTAATTTTAGAGCATTCATGGACATTTATATTTATCTTTGACATTTCGGAAATAACTTTTTTGTTTTTGTTTTCAAGACAGGGTTTCTCTTTGTAGTCCTGGCTGTCTTGGAACTTGCTTTGTAGACCAGGCTGGCCTTGAACTCAGAGATTCTCCTGCCTCTGCCTCTCAAGTGGGAAATAATGTATTTTTAAGTAACCCATACTACTTTCTTTCACTGTGATGTGGATGTAGTCTCTTCAAGGGCATCCCCTTAAGAAACAAGGCCTAAATTGTGTTTCCTTGGACTTAACTAGACGAGGGTCTTGGTGAGCATGACAGATTGTGTGATGGATGTTCTTGCTGCTTTTCAGTGACACAGAGCAACCTGCACCCATGGAAGAGATCTCAATGATGGAGGAATCCCAGGGCACCCTGGATGAGGAGTCTCTAGCCAAGTAGGCAGCTGCTTCTTATGCTTATGGGTTATCTTTTCTAATGATTATTAATGATTCATTGTCTCTTTCTCTCTCTAAGATTGAACATTATGTTTATTTAGCACAAAGTCCTGCCAGCGGGTTTGTGTGTGTGTGTGTGTGTGTGTGTGTGTGTGTGTGTGTGTAGGTGTGTGTGTGTGTAGGAGTGCTTGTGTGAACATGGAGGCCAGACCCGGGTACCAGATGTCCTCCTCCTGGTTTTGTACCTTATTGCCTTGAGGCAGGGTCCCCAAAAAATGAAAGCGCACCATCTCAGCTAAGCTGACCAGCCAGTGAACTCTTAGGATCCTCCTGTCTCCACTCCACAGTACTGGGGTTTATATGCATACCCAGCTAAGCCTGGCTTTTTATGTGGGTGTTGGACATTCACACTCTGGTCTTCATGTTTGCACTACAAGTACTCTAGAAAAAAAAAAAAAAAAAAAGACTGTCTCTCTATGTAGCCCTGGCGTCCTAACTCTCAATATGCAGACCAGGCTGGCCTTGAACTCACAGAGCTCCGCTTGCCTCTGCCCCTAGTGCTGGGGTTAAGGATGCACACACCACACCTGGCTGGAGCAAGCACCCTTAACCACTGAGCCATCTCTCCAGCCTTCTCTGCTAATGTTTGTAAGTGTTCTGCCTGCATGTATGCTTGTAGACCAGAAGAGGGCAATGGATGGCTGTGAGCCACCATGTGGGTGCTGGGAATTGAACTCAGGACCTCTGGAAGAGCAGCCAGCGCTTTTCACCTCTCAGCCATCTCTCCAGCCCGTCTTAATGGTTTTAAAAGCTGAGCCACTTCTTATATCATACTGGGTTGATCTTGTTTGTTAATGCATAATGATCAAACTAGTTACTTTAAGTAATCTGATAGGTTTTTTAAGAATGAGAATAGATGAAATTCGAGTGTGGTCCCTCTGCCCCGACCTCTTCTTGCTTTTGTCCCTTTATTCTCTTGTCTTCCTTTTCTCCCATGAAGACTGGGTCTCTGGTCCATACCTAGCACACTGAAGCTTTAAGCCTCCTTTCCCTGTGAATGAGCCAGGGTGCTGGTCACTGAATTCTTAGGGTCCTCCTGTCTCCTCCTAGACTAGTCCTCATTCAGCCTTCTCCCTACCGGAATCCACAGCCAAGCAAATCACAAGGCAGGGTAACTGGAACCTTTGAAAGGTTTTTGTTCTTGTTTGGTTTGGTTTTATTTTTACCATTACTATGTGTGTGTATGCATCGTATGTGCATGTGGAGGTCAGAGAAGAACTCTGTAGAGTTGGTTCTCTCCTTCCTCCTTTATGTGAATTCCAGGGATCAATTCCAGGTTGCTAGGCTTGTGTAACAAGCACCTTCCCCACTGAGCCATCTCACCAGCCCTCTGTAACACACCGCTTGCTAGAACTCTGAGATGAAGTCAATACTCCAGCACCTCAATGTCATGGATTCTTCAAAGCCTCGACAGTGCTTTCCAGTAGCTGCCACACCTCAGAGAAATGCAGTGCCCTAGATGGGAAGTCGGTGGTCTTCCCATTCTCAAAGATATGCCCTGAGCCTCTTTTCCTCGTGGCAGAACACAGTGCCATCTCTTCTCCCACCTCTCATAGTTTTGAGTCTGTTCCCACTGGTTTCCTCAAACTGTCGGTTTGTTCCCTTCTTCTTCCCCAGCTCTGGTCTTCTGGACAGTGTATGTGTGCACTCTCATACTGAAGTCTGTCTCCTCTTGACCCTGCACTGTGCCATGCTCATTTCCACTCCTGTTCTTTAAACTCTGGACCTGCCTCCTGTTGTCGTTACCCTCTGAGTACTTCCCCAGGGTCTCCAGGCTTAATGCCATTTCATTCTGGATCGATGTTGATTTCAGCTCAGGTGGCTCTCTGGCTCATTGGCTCACTGTGCTCTGGTTTCCCTCTGCCTTGAACATCTCCTTTGCAACTCATTACGGTTTTGCCTCAGGCCTCTTCTCTTTTTCTGAGTCTTTATGGGATCTTTAAGTCTGCTGCTTAAATTGTCATGTGTTAACACCAGAATACAGATCTTTGGCTTCATCCATCAGTATGAGGTATGTGTATCTGTCTCCTGCATACCTTCCCCAGCACCCCCCTTGCTTTGCATGTTCAGCAGGACTGAAATGCTTGCTTCTGCATGAACGTCTGGACTCACCAGGTGTCTCTGTCTTCTGGAACAGCATTATCACTCATCAACTTCCACAAATGAAAGCTTAGAAGTCTCCCTTGGAAGTCCTGTTTTCAGTCCTCTCCCACCCCCAAATGCAGGCTTCACTCTGCCTCTAACTGTTCACCATCTCTGTCACCAGCATAGCCTGAGCTTCTGTTGTTTGGTTGTTGCTGCAGCTTCTGACGGCCTCTGCATTCTGATCTGCACCAGAGTGGCTCTTACACTAGCATGCCGAGTATCATGTCCTCTGACCCCTTAAGACCCTCTCCAGTGGCTTCCTGGTCCTACTCTGTTCTTACCCTGACGTGCACAGTCCTGCATGGCCTGGCCCCTCTGGGACCCTCAAGTTTGACTAATCTTTTGCCTTCCTGGGATTCATTTTGTGGCCCCCTACTTCATGTTTCTGAATATACCTTATCCTCACCTCACTGGCAATTGTAAGCTTGCTTGCTTGTGTGTTTGCTGAATTCTTGCTGTCCACCCTGCTGCTGGCTCTCCTTTATACACCCTTCGGCTGCCAGAGTAGACTGAGCCAGTTTGATCAAGTTATTTAATCTGCCCTCATTTGTAAAATGGAGATAAAAGGCTGCCCACAGCATGGAGTTGTGAAGATTGTGTTGTGTGCACAGCTCTGTTCATATCCACTAGTGGAAGAGAGAAGGAGGGGGCACCTAGAGTGGAGCCCAGAACTTGGTTGCTATATAAGTATCTACAAGTATCATCTTGGCTTCTTACAAGAGTGACAGTGACTGACAGTTGTGACAGCTGTGAATTTACTGCTCAAAACAACTAAGAATGTGTTTTTAAAATAGGATTCATAGTTAATGTGCCTATTTAGACAGTGTGCTAACTAAAGAGATAGACGCATAATTTCTATGAGCTGGGAAAGTGAATTATGTAGGAATCTTCAGGGAAAAATTGTTTGAGGCAGTAAACGTTTGTGCATGTTTGGGTGCACTAAGGTTGAAAACCAACAAGCTTCATCATCCTCACTGACAGAATGAAGATACTGTGGCATTCCTAGATTAGACAAAATAACATTGGAGGTGGCTGAGCAAGGCTGCCCACTGTGCCTCTCTGTGTGGACTGGCTGAATGTGAAACCGCTGTGGGAACTGCAGGTGCTGCCCCACATGTTGAGGAGCTCTTGTTTCTTTGGCCCTGTCAGACTTCAAAACCACAGAAATCTCTCACAGCGATGTGTCGTTCGCAGCTCTGGCTGATTGATCTGACGTGGGGGCTTTCAGGATTAAGCCATAGTGGACTTTCCGTTCACCTCTTAGGCTTAGAACTTCTTGATGGAAGAGCTTAAAGTCCCGTACACCAGTGTTTTAGAGCATAACCTGAAATACATACTTATTCTTCCAACTGAGCCAGTGTACTGGTGTATTACACCCTCCCTCGCCTTGCTTCATGGCAGCGGCTGAAGTGTTCCTCATCACAGTGCTCTGATGTTTGCCGGCGTCTGCCACTCTGACCGCCTTGACTCTGAGTTTGCTTCTCTTGAAGAGCTCAGAGAAGTGGAACCTTACACAGAAAAGAGAAAACACATTGGCTTATTTGACTTTTCATCATGTTTCCAAATTTCTGTCATGTTATGACCTGTATTAATTAATTTTGTTTTTTCAAGACAGGGTTTCTCTGTGTAATAGCCCTGTCTGTCCTGGAACCCACTCTAGAGACCAGGCTGGCCTCAAACTTAGAAATCTACCTGCCTTTCCCTTCCGAGTGCTGGGATTGAAGGCATGTGCCACCATGCCCAGACTTTATTTTATTTTTATTTTTTTAAGATTTATTTATTATGTATATAGTATTCTGCCTGCAGGCCAGAAGAGAGCACCAGATCCCATTATAGATGGCTGTGAGTCACCATGTGGTTGCTGGGAGTTGAACTCAGGACCTCTGGAAGAACAGTCAATGCTCTTAACCTCTGAGCCATCCCTCCAGCCCCTTTATTTATTTTTTTTAATACCATATTTTGCTTATCTGTTTGTCAGATGATAGACACACGGGTAGTTTCTAGTTTGAGGCTGCTCTGTGTAGTACCACTGTGAACATTCATGTCTGTGTTCTGATATGGATGCATGCTCTCATTTCTCTCAGGTGTGAAATTACTGGGTCATATATGAGCTCTGTTAGAAAAAAATTTGAGACAAGATCTCTCTATGTAGGCTGTCCTGGAACTTCCTATGTAGACCAGGCTGGCCTCAAACTTACAGAGATCCGCCTGCCTCTGCCTCCCGAGTGCTGGATGAGCCACCGCACCCGACTTTAAAATTTGAAGACCCACCAGACTATTTTCTAAATTGACACACCACATTCCCTCAGCAATATACCTGGGCTCCAATTTTTGACATCCTTGTCAACACTTGTTAAATGTCTTTAAAGACACCTTTTTTCTTTCTTTTTAAAAATTTTTATTTATTTTATATGCATTGGTATTTTTGCCTGTGTGAGGGTGTCCAGTCCCTTGGAACTATAATTACAAACAGTTGTGAGCCACCATGTGGGTGCTGGGAATTAATCCTGGGTCTTCCTTAAGAATAGTCAGTGTTCTTAACCTCAGAGCCGAGTCTCCAGCCCCCACCTTTTTTCTTTTTAAAAAAAATAGTTATTTTTGTATGTGTGAGTGCTTTGCCTGCCTACATGAATGTATATATGTATACTACATTAAGTGCCTGGTGCCCATGGTGTCCAGAAAAGAGCCTTGGGTCCCCTGAATCGAGCTGCAGCTAGTTGTGAGTCACCAAGTGGATGCTAAGACCCCAACCAGGTCCTCTGCAAGAGCCCCGGGTGCTCTCAACTGATGAACCATCTCCAGCCCAAAGTGCCTTTTTGACACCAGCTGTCCTGTCAGGCGTGGAATGGTGTAACTGCTTGTGGTCCGAGCCGGCCTTCTCTGATGACTAATGATACTGTACATTTGGAAAGTATTTAATGTGTCTATTTTGCCTGCATGTGTATGTGCATGCAGTTCCTTTGGAAGACAGAAGAGGGCACAAGATGCCCTGGAACTGGTGCTGTAGGTGATGGGGATTTGGACTTGGGTCTTTGTGCTTCCAGAGCAAGCCACCTCCTAGCCTGCTTTTAAACATTTTAAGCTGTTAGCTAGGATGGGGATAGAACACTTGTTCTTGTTCAACACATGCGAGCCCCTGAGCTCCACCCACAACACTTCAAAAAAGTCTACAATAAAAAACCTTACTCAAAACTGAGTCATAGGAGAGAGTCAAATATGAAGTTTTCAACGGGTTCTCATGATGAAGTTATCAGACAAATGTGGACGTAAGCATGAAATATAATGAGGTCCATAAGAAAACCTATACGTATAATGTGATCAAAAATAGTTTGGGCGTAATGAGGAAGGGTTTGGAGCATGGGCCTGGAGAGAGTCTGAAATAATATTCGATTGCTTTTAGAACCAACTGAAGGGGATATTTATCAAAATGTACATTTGTGACCCATTGCTTTAAGACTGGTTTCCTATGACTTTGTGTCCACAGCATATTTTATTTTCTTCCCCAAATATCATATTGTCTGTCCATCTTCCTTCAGGAAAGGTGCACGATGGTGTAACTGATGGAAATGACTTGGGGTGATAACATCATTTTCACAGACTACTGTTTGCAGTGAAGGATAGGATAGGATGGTAAAGATAAAACCCAGAAGATGTGACTCCATGCGTTTGGATTACTTTTAACCTTATATTCGTGATACAGTGCTACAAAAGTATAACTTTTTTTGGTAGACATTTGGTCCCATTGGCCAAAAAATTTCTTTGTTGTAATGTACAGAGTTCCTGAGTTGGAGGTAGAAGAGGAAAATCAAGTCCAAGAGATGACCTTAGATGAGTGGAAAAACCTTCAAGAGCAAACCAGACCAAAGCCCGAGTTCAACATCCGGAAGCCAGAGTCCACAGTTCCTTCCAAGGCAGTGGTGATTCACAAGTCCAGATACAGAGACGATGTAAGCCTCTGTTTCGGGGGAATCTGCACCAAAGTAGACCTCTCTCATTGGATGTGAAAACAGAACCTTGCTACTACCCCCCCCCCACTGCAAAAAAAAAATTATTGTATGTGGGTGGTGTGCATGTGGAGGTGAGAGGATAACTTGCGGTTCTCAGAAGTAGAACTGAAGTCGTCAGGGTTGGTACCCTCTTAGCCATCTTGCTAGCCTTCCACTTGGCATTCTTGTTTCTGCTTAAGCATCATCAAGGATGATAAAAAGGAATAGAACTTGGTGTGTTGACAGCTGAATACTGTACATTCTCTGCTAGCCTTGAAAGTAAGCCAGGAAGACACAAGTGCCAAGGTCTCTTAGTGAGAGAGGCACAGAGCAGCCATTTCAAAGGTTACTGACTTGGTATTTTGATGATTAGATTGCCATCCTCTCCAGTTGTTTTGTTTTAGACAAAGTCTGTAGTATGTAGCCTGGTCTGGCCTCACACTCTCCATCCTCCTCCTTCAGTGTCCTGAGGGCCAGGATTAGAGGTGTGCACCACCACGGTCCTTATCTTCCAGTCTCATTCATGGTGAGCATTGCATTGGGTCAGCTGATCAGTTGAAGCAGTACCTGGGAACCTGTATTCTGTGACCCCTTTGTTACAGTATTTTAACAGCACTGCTCCCTCCCTTTGTCTAGCTCTAGAAACTGCTGAGAAACTCCTACATTGATGATGGCATGGTCAGCACCACGCTGCACCATCTGTGCTGAGGGCATTGTCATTATTACGTGTTGTGCAGGCCTTATTCTTCATATTTTCTGTCTAGCTGTGTGTGTGTGTGTGTGTGTGTGTGTGTGTGTGTGTGTGTGTGTATGTACACTTGCTCATGTGTCTATCACTCTCTACTTTGTTTTTTGAGACAAGGTCTCTCGGTGAACCTGGGACTCACCAATTCAACTAGACTGGCTAGTAAGCTCCTAGAATCCTGTCTCTGTCTCCCTGGTGTTGGGTTTATTGATGTGCGCTGCCACACTCAGCTTTTTACATGAGTGTTGGGGATCCAAACTCAAGTCCTCATGCTTTCTGCAAGCATGCTTTCTGCAAGCAGTGTGGCTGTGCCTTCCCAACCCAGCATTGGGCTTTTACCAGATGCCTGGACAGAGATGCTCCAGGGAAATATCAGTTTGTAATGACAAGGCTGATCACTTATTACCTTCTTTTTGTTTCTGAACCTAAAGGAACACTGAATCGCCCAGGTGTAGAATTTAGAATTCCTGTTGTTCAGTCACAGCACAAAACAGTGCAGATTGTGGTGAGGAGCAAAATCATCTTCCCTGCTGGATATGACTGGATGACTTCCAGTCAGTTCAGAACACCGTAGTTTTGTCTGTTTCTCTGTTAGATTTCCAGTGCTGTGACAAAATGCCTGAGATCACTTATAATGAGAAAAGTTTTGGTTCAGCCTCAGGTTGTGGTGACCCAAAATGCAAGCAGATGGCTGAAAACCATATTTGCTTGCCTCACTGTGGCCGAAAAACAGACAGGAAGGAGCTGAAGTCCTGATGATGTCTCCATCCAGGACACAGCCCAATGATCCACTTCCTCTTACCATGCCCCACCTCCTCAAGATTCCACCACCTACCAAGACCACACAGGTGGGTACACAGGCCTTTATTTATGAGTCCTTTGCAATCCAAGTCATAGCAATTTGCATGTGCACTTTGGTGAGTTATATTCTTTGAATACTTTATTTAGAAAGCTGTTGATGACATAGTATATCCACTCTGCCTCCTGTTTTGGTCAGCTCAAAGTCTAAGACACTTTACTAGTAAGTTTCTATAGATATGGGAGGCCGGAGATAGCTAAGTAGACAGCATTTCTTTTGTTGTTGTTCTTTTCTGTTGTGAACATTAGAAATAAAGCTTCCTGTGAATCCACTGTGCTGTAAAGCTGGGAAACAGTTAAAAATAGAAGCTGATTCCTCAAACCACATCAGATTCCTCTTCCTTGGCTGCAGAAATCTGTTGGAATATTTGATGTAACTAAAGTTAGCTGAGTCATTGAGCTTGGTTAGTTTGGTTTCAATAAAGTAAATGTCTTTGGTCCTTGTTAATCTGGCATTGCAGAATTTAGCCAGGGATTGTTCTTAAAGCAACATGAGCCAAATCTTGGGGTTTCTAATTTACTGTTTTTTGGTGCCTTAAGAGACCTCCCACCAAAAAAGTCCTAGAATAATATGTAACATGAATCTTAAATGGTCTTATTAATAAGAAGAACTCAGGAGCCAGGTATTGGAGTGAAAGCTGGAAGATCAGAGAGACACAAGCTAACCTCACCTCGCCAATTTCTCGGCTTCCAAAGACAGCGACTTCCTGTCTACCCAGGCTTATATGTCTTCTTGTTCTGCCATCTGATTTGCTGTCTAGCTACATCACTGCCTCTTCCTGGCCAGCTCTGTGACTTCTGTCTGTATAGGCCTCCAGAACTCTACGGTTGGTACTAGGATTAAAGGTGTGTGGTCTGTTCCCTAGTGTGGCCTGGAACACACAGAGATCCTGCCTGCTAAGTGATAGGATTAAGGGCCTGTGCTACCATTGCCTGACTTCTTTGTTTACTTAAAATTCCTTGCTCTTTCCTCTGATCTTCAGGCAAACTTTATTTATTAAAGCACAAATATCACCACAATAATATGTATTGTTTGTGTGCAAATCAACCTAAAGCAGCTCAGCAATGAGCACTTTGACTAGGATCAGCAACTGAGAGAGGAGGCCAGGCCTCGCACTTGCCGTGTATGGGCTAGCCTTGGACCTCAGTCACTTCCTCCTAGGACATGCTGATAGCCAAATATTTTCTGAGTCGGGCAGTTCATTATTTTGTCTCTTATGTCTTCGTGTGTCCCACTTGTTCTTTCCTTCACCAATTTAGGTTAAAGGGTCCATTAACCTCAAACTTCTGCTTTTAATTAGTAAGTCTGAAGGGGAGTTTGATCCTATAATGAACATACAGCCCAAGGAAGTTTTTCTGTTTTCTGGCCAATTCATAGGAATGTTTAGCTTTTGTCTGCTTTTGTGCATATGTGGGAGTGTATACATGTGTGGGAATGGGTGTGTACATTTGTGTGCAGATGCACTTGCCCTCATGAGAATGTGTGGAGGCCAGGGGTTGAAGTGGAGTATCTTCCTCATTCACTCTATACCCTCTACCTTTTCTGTTTTCTTTTGAACAGCATCTGTCCCTGAACCTGGAGCTTGCCAGTTTGGCTAGCTTGGCTGGACAGTGAGCTCTGGATCTCCTGTCTTCACCCTGCAGTGCTAGATCACAGTGTATGCCACAGGTCCTCGTGATTGCACAAGTGCTTTAGGGACCAACCCATTTTCCAAGCCATCTGACCACTGATCCTGTTTTAACTTCTGAAGGCTGAGCATTCACTTGAGGGGTTTTGGTTTATCTAAGATTATGAGTTGAAGTAATAAGACTTATTTATTGTATTTTTTTTTTTTAATCATAGGAAGAACTTACTTGGGCTTCTTAAAATGCAAAGAATTTTAAGAAGAGCCACTGTTAAAAGTGGTTTGAGCTAAAGCCAGCCATAGTGGCACATGCCTTTGATCCCAGCATACTGAAGGTGGGCGAATCTCTGAGTTGAGACCAGTCTGGTCTCCATAGTGAGTTCCAGGAAAGCCATGGCTATACAGAGAATCCCTGTCTCAGAAGACAAAACAAAAAAGTGGCTTGAGATCTCTGTGCAGCATGGCAGTGATGCTTACATGACTGTGTTCTATTCTGTGGAATTCCCACACATGGCATGTGGATGGCAGCATCCACACCTACACAGAAAGGAATTTCTCCATCAAGTTCAATTCCTGGAAGGCAATATTTTCATATCTGTCTAAGTAAACAGAAGATAAACAGAAATTAAAACTTTTTTTTTTTTAACCTCAAACACATTTGAAACATGCTAGTAAAATCTTACATCTTAACCTGCCTAGACTGGGGTTTGTTGTTGTTTATTTTGAGACAGGGTCTTACTATGTAGCTCTGGTTGTCCTGGAACTCACTATGTAGACCAGGACGACCTCAAACTCAAAGAGATCCACCTGCTTCTGTTTCCTGAGTGCCAGGATTAAAGACACGAGTCACCACACAACAAGATTTTGGTTTTACTTGAAGTAATAGTAAATTTAAAGATGTTTGGATGAAGATGAAGTAGAATCCCATGCTTATATTCCTAGTACTTGGGAGGCTAAGGGCAAGAGGATCACCGTAAGTTCCAGGTCAGCCTGAGGTACATAGTTTTGCTTGTATTAGACCAGTGTCTGGTGTCCAGCCCAGCTGCTCAGGGCTGGACACATCCAGGGTCTTCCTAGTCTACAGGGTCACACAGGCCACCAGTGCAACATATTAAAAAGGTTCATTGCTAGGACCTGGGCTGTGGGACTGTGGAAATGGCCGTACATGTACCTGTCTGACCTGGCACTGTGTTTCAGATGGTGAAGGATGATTATGAGGATGAGTCCCATGTCTTCCGGAAAGCCGCCAATGACATCACATCCCAGCTGGAGATTAACTTTGGTAACCTCCCTCGCCCTGGACGGGGAGCCAGAGGTAGTGCCCGAGGAGGGCGAGGAAGGATCAGAAGAACAGAAAACTATGGCCCCAGAGCAGAAGTGGTGGTAAGTGGCTGCATTCTAAGTCCTGATGGCTTCTGAAGGAGAGGGCGACTGCTCGCTCTACAGTGGTCTGGTCTGGAGCCATTTGGAGCAGCGTCACCTTATCTGACACAAGTCACATGATTCCTGTAGTCCTGGCCCCAGTGACTAAATCTGCATAAAACAAGATCCCTGGGCGTGAGGTGGATTCAGGCCACTAGACAGAGCTTATTAACCATCTGTGTAGCCTCTGCTGGAACAGTACCATCAGGACAGTCTTTCCAACCCTAGGGACCTTGTCGTGTCCCATGTCCCCCCCCCCCCCACACACACACACTGCTCAGCAACTGCTGCTCTTTGAACAGCAAGGCCACACCCCAGATCCTCCACTCTGCCTGCCTTGCACCCTTTGTTTTGTCCACCTGCCAATCTCAAGTCTGCACTTCTATCCACGGCACCCCTCCTAGAGCAGTCAAGGTCTTTGAGCAGAGGCTTTTCTCTCCTCCGAATCCTTTCTTCCTGCTGTGTCTCCTACTGCATGACCACCCAGCAGTGCTGCGCTCTCCAGTGGACGGGAGTAACACCTCACTTAGTGCTGGCTCCTGAGCACGTAGCCTCTTACCCACCAGGAGGCTGTAGCCAGCCCAGCCCCGGCTGGCCTCAGGCCCTTTTGCTGCCCACCTCCCATGTGCTGGGATTAAGGGCCTGTAGCTTGTTAACACACAAAAGACTTTCTTCCATAGACACCTGAAGTCAGGGACAGAAAAAAAAAAAGATGTGTTTGAACAGCACACGTCCGCTCCCGCTGAGTTACATGAGCTACAGTGCAGCCCTGGCGACCCCACTGCAAACCCATGCTGCTGCTCTAGTCTCCCTCACGCAGGCCACAGGTGTCACGTCCGTCCCTGTCCTGTGCCGAGACTCTTCTCAGGGAGAACTCTTTTCAGAAGACCTTGCTTGGTATTGGACTTCTGCCTGTGACTTAAGTTCCCCACTTCATGTCTTTCCCCAGAACTTGAGCTGTGTAGGAAACTGCGTGAATTCATTCCTGCTTACTTTGGGTACCTAGCATGTAGTAAACCATAACTTTTTAGGTTTAAATGTGTATGTATATGAGTATTTTGCCTTTATGTATGTGTGTGTGCACCACCTGTATGCCTGGTGCCCTTGAAGGCCAGAAGAGGGCATTGAATCCTCTGGAATTGGAGTTACAGATGACTGTGAGCTATCATGTGAATGCTGGGGATCAAACCCTGGTCCTCTGGAAGAACAGCCAATGTTCTTATCCACTGAGCCAACTCTCCAGCCCTACACAGTTATTTACTGGGACAAGAAAGTGTCAGATCCAGAGGGCAAAAAGGAAGACAGCTCCTGACAGTGGCCCTCAGGCCCTATTGAGATGACTTAGGGAGTTATCTAGACGAGTCCTTTAGCATTTCTGGACATAGGTAGAACTGGAGCTGTTCATTTAAAGCAGTCATAGCCACTGTGGCTCCATCATTTCCTCCCTGGGCTAGCAGGGGTGGAATGGGGCCACCTGGGCCACACAGTTAAGTGATCTAATGCTGGCCATGGCTGGGTGGGGGAAGGGCAGTCAATTTAAAACCTCTCTTTTCTTTAGACACAAGATGTCGCTCCCAACCCGGATGACCCTGAGGACTTCCCCGCCCTGGCCTAACAGCCATTCCCCTGCAGCAGAGCAGCACTATGAAGAGACTTTCCTTGCCTCGAGAAGAGTCAGACTCTAAGAACAATAGATGTTGCTTTTCCTGTGTCGTGTGAACTTGTTGCACTTTCTTACTCTGTGGGATGTTAGTGCAGGTTCCCATGAGGGTCAGGCACTTCCCACAGATGGAGACTTTTGTAAGGAATAATGTTTAAAATGTGTACATAGATCCTAACAGTTCCACCACAGAAGTTCAGAGTAAAGTCAATCACAAAGTAGGACTGCTGGGCATGGTGGTGCATGCCTTTAGACTCAGCACTTGGGAGGCAAGTGGATCTCTCGAGTTTGAGGCCCACCTGGTCTACAGAGTGAGTCTCGAAAATCCAAAAAAAAAAAAAAAAAAACAAACAAAACAAAACAAAGAACCACTACCACCTATTGAGATGACTTAGGGAGTTATCTAGGCAAGTCTTTTAGCATTTCAGGACATCGGTACAACTGGAACTGTTCATTTAAAGCAGTCACAGCCTAGTGTTCATACCATTCCCCTATAATGGTTCAGTTTTGCTGAAGATTCCAACTTTAAACTGTCATTGTGCACCAGTAACAACCACTCTGTCAGGCAGAGGAAGTACTGGCTTTCAGTGGTGATCTAAACTACCTCGTGGAACGTGTTTGTGCGCACATCCTTATTTAGTGTATGTGTGCATACTTAGTGCTCAGATGGTTGTTAAGTATGATTTAAAATTGTGTTATTTAACTCACTAATCAAATGAAAAGGCTTCCTGGTACATGTATATATTTTTTTCTTAAAACTAGTGTCACCAGGCAGGTAGTGCACACCTTTAGTCCCAGTACTCAGGCAGAGGCAGGCAGATTTCTGTGAGTTTGAGGCCAGCCTGGTTTACAGAGCAAGTTCCAGGACAGCCAGAACTCCATAGTGAAACTCTGTCACAAAAACAAACAAACAAGAAAACTATTATTAAAATTCAGTACTGTTACTCTGAGCAGACTGACTTATAACTCAAACCCATTTACCAGCTGCAAACACCATGGGCAGGCTCCTCCTCTGGGCCGTGCCCCAGGTCCTGTGTTGCTCTTACCACCTCTGGTGGAGGTTAGGGATCACCTCAGAGGCTTAGTCATTCAGCTTGGAGTCCCACCCCAAACAGCTTGAGACCTAGGGCCAAGCTACGAACCCACTGGCAAAATCAGAGAAGAGTCATTGTGTGGGGGAGGGACCTGCCAAGTTATTTATTGGATAGCTGTAGAGATGGGGAGGGAGGCTGGCCTGGTTTGCTTATGATGGAACCTTGCTCCCAAGGCCTGTGCTCTCCCCACTGGGCCACGTAGTCTTAGATGGTATTGAACTGGAACCCAGGTATAAATGAAGGTTGGTGTTCCCTCTGTATAAAATCTGAACTCTTGGGGTTTGGTTGAATCATCAAAGTTGAACCTCTACACATGTTACTACCAAGGATGTTTGCTTTGGGTGCCCTCCTGCTTCTGATCCCATGTTTATTAAATCAATGAGTACAAAGGTATATTAACTGACTGCCTTGTTCATTCCTTTTCCCTGGGGCTAGCATACTGCTTGTAAGTACTGTGGTCTGACTGGAGAAGCCTGCATTGATTTTAGTTGTGATCGTCGCTGGGGCACGGTCCCATGAAGTCCTCCCTTGGCTTTGAAGGTTGACAAAGCAAGGCTTTCTGTTAAGAACATTCCCATTTGAGTTGTGAATGACACTGGGAAAGCTTGTAGCCATGCTGCCTCGAGTCATATGGTTAGACCATAGGCAACCCTGCTTGCTGTCAACTTTTGTACAGGGGCCACCTTGCTGATTTGATGGGGCAAGTGGATATAATTTTTGCTTGTACCCAGGTCATAGCCTGAGAGAAGATGGCAGGACACAAGTCAAGGGCAGAGAAAGCCATTAGCAAGGTCATTCTGCAGGCCCTTAGCTCCAAGTTGCCTGCCAGACCCCTTTGATGGCTGGGTGCTAGATATGTAATGAAGTGGGCAGGTGCTTCTGGCTGGTATTTAACTACACCAAAGACACCTCATCTCTTAGAAATGGGAGGCCAGTCAGAGGTGGCGTGTGTGTGTGTGTGTGTGTGTGTGTGTGTGTGTGTGTGTGTGTGTGTGTGTGAGAGACTTCTGAAAGCAAGTGGTTTGAGGGCCCATGGGCTGTCAAACAGCCTGGCAAAAGGAATTCTGCTTGCCTTGCTGAGGCATGAACATAAGCCATGCCAAGATGTCTGAAGAGTAAAGTGTGGCTAAAACAGCTCTTTCCTGTGTCTCTAGATGGATGACAACTTAGGGCACTGTAGTAAAATATTTTAAGGTGTGTTACTTTTGTTTATATTGCATTTGTTTGACTCTGTGATGCTGTGTTACTGTGCCTGTCTAAAACACCTGATGGTTTAATAAGGAATTGGCCAATAGGCCAGGCGGTGGTGGCATATACCTTTAATCCCAGCACTTGGGAGGCAGAGCCAGGCGGATGTCTATGAGTTCAAGGCCAGCCTGGTCTACAGAGCGAGATCCAGGACAGGCACCAAAACTACACAGAGAAACCAAAAACAACAAAACAAAACAGTCTTGAAAAACCAAAAACAACAACAAAAACAAACAAAACAAAACAAAAAACTGGCCAATAGCAAGGCAGGAGAAAGGATAGGCAGGTCTGGTGAGCGGAGAGAATATACAGGAGAAAACTGAGAGGAGAGGTCTAAGATTCGAAGATTTAGGAGCCAGAGAAGGAGGAGGACTCCAGGGGCCAGCCACCCAGCTACACAGCAAGACATGGAGCAAGAGTAAGATTTACAGAAGTTAGAGAACGGGAAAAGCTCAGAGACAAAAGGTAGATGGCATAATTTAAGAAAAGTTAGCTAGAAACTAAGCCAAGCTAAGGCCAGGCATTCATTTATTTGGAAGCTGGGTGGCGGGCCCCCCAGAAGAGAGTAAAACCCCCCAGCAACAGGGCACTTGTGAACCAGAAGCTGCGGCTGTGCTAGGGACGTCTGCTGCAAGGGCTTCCTTCCTGGACACTCAGCCAGGCACACACTATCCTGAGAGGGCTGGAAGAGCCAGACCCTGCCTCAAGGTGGACAAACTGACCATACCCTCTTGTGAACATGTGCTGTCCACTGCAGGCTTACCATGAAGCACTGTGAGGAGAAGCAAGGTTTGCCCATTTCTCTTCCTGCTACTGCTGCCTCCCACCCAGCTTCCTGTGAGGATCGACCTCCCAGGGTCCAATCTCATCCCACTGTGGCCCTGGGCACAGCCCAAGGGACCATCCTGAGTAGACGTCGAGCACTGACAGCTTGGCTGGGCACTGCCCTGTAGTCACCTTTGTTTTTAAGAAGAATAAACCAGGTCACCTGAAACCTTCCTTAAACGCAGAACTCTTGATGACCAGAGTCCACACCGAGACACGTTCCCTCAGGCTGTGCTATCCCTTCTCCCTCAAGGCATCCTATCCTGACCCACCAGAACTACTACTGAGTGAACCTCAGACCCACAGGCATGGTGCCCCCATCATGCCCCAGCTGTACCTTCTGGGCATCTGAAGGATGGCCCTTCTGCCTGCGCCATTAGTGTGGGTTGTCTTAATGGAGGACATTGCCCTGTAGATGCCTGGTCACCCACAGGCGGTTACCCAGAGATGGGAGGAGCCCAAGGCAGATAAAGGCCCTGTTCCCTGAGCCCAGGGTCCTTTCTAGGCACTATAATTGAAAGACAGAGCCACAGCCGGGCAGTGGTGGCGATCGCCTTTAATCCGAGCACTCGGGAGGCAGAGCCAGGCAGATCTCTGCGAGTTCGAGGCCAGCCTGTTCTCCAAAGCAAGTTCCAGGAAAGGCACAAAGCTACACAGGGAAACCCTGTCTCAAAAAACCAAAAAAAAAAAAAAAAAAAAAAAAAAGACAGAGCCACGTGTACCTCACTGGGACAGGAATCCACGGAGTATTTATGGTATGCTTTTTTAGCTACCCCAAGGGCCACCACCAGAGACATACTGGGGTAGTCTAGGGGCTAAGGGAGAGCTCAGGCTCAAGGCCCTAGTGGCTCCTGCTGCCTCAGCCCCATCCATCTCTGCCTGTCTCCTCCAAAACCACCTGCTCAGGCCACAGGCTGCTAGTGACTTGGTAATAGAAATGTCCCTAATCAAAACACAGAGGTGCCTACAACCTAGAAAACCACCCTTGTGGACCTGGCAGGTCCAGTCAATAGGGCAGAATTACAGATGCCTTCAAAACATTCTTTCTTTGCAAGAATGCCCAGTTCCATAGAAGCATTTGTAAATCAAGGAGAATAGAGGGGCATTCCTGAGAATTATCAAATACTAAAGGCACCAAGGGCACCAATGCACTCATTCATGATGAGCTGCAAAACTGCACTGGTGGCCGGCCCACTGAGACACCAGCTGATGGCCTTGAATAAAGTCCCAAGTGCTCAGGATGCAAATTGGCAATGGGGCCATGCAGAGGTTTTTGGAAGGGGAGAGAAGAAATAAGAATACCAGGTGGCCTCTGAGGGAAGTGAACCATGACCGATGTGAATACACTGTTGGGGATGTTCTCAGAGCATCCCTATAAGGCCTCGAGGTAACAGGGAAGTGGGGGTTGTATACATACCTCAGTGGTGTCTCCCAGGCATGCTGTGCACCAGCCATGCTGCTGGGGAAGCTGAGAGTATTTCGATCACAGGAGGCATTCGATTGAGAGGGCTCAAGTGGCACAGTCCTATTGGACTTGGAATTGAGCAGCTCTACCCCAGGGCTGTCAATTTGGCCCCCTCCTCACCCACCAACAGAGCTGATAGGACACCCAGTGGAAATACTGGAAGAACAAGACAGACACATTTGCTGGGTTGCTGAGGCACCAGCCTGAAAAAAACAGGCTTATATTGCACAGGGAGAGGATTCCCAGGAGAGCAGCACTGTAGTCAGAAGAGACTTCCAGAGGCCTAGGCCCTGCGGACCCCGAGCCACATCAAAAGCCGGTCTAGAAAGGTTACAGCCCGAGACAGCCAGCCATCACTGGAAAAGGAGGAGATGGTTAAGCTGTTCTCAATGTTCTTATCCCTGGCCCAGGCCCAGCCACTGTACTCATGGCAAGGCACAACTGTCACTCCAAATGAGTAAAACCCTACAGTGGCCACCAACCGCCACCTCCCCTCCCCATCCTGTCCTGCCCATGTCCTCCAGCTGGACCTCAGCAGACCTTCCCCATCCTCAAGGCATAACAGACACAGGTTACTATGAAGACATCTAAGGTCAGGCTGGAAGGTAGCTGACTAGACAACCTGAAGCCCACCCTGGAATCGTGGCCCTTAGAAGCTCCACTTCTCCACTGTCTCCAAGTGAGGTCTTTTCCCTTCTTCCTAGTCTTGGGCCAGAGCAGAAAGGGCAAGGAAGCCCTATTTCAGCAGGATCCCTGGAGTGCTTGGGCAGCTCCTTTGATGTTTCCAACAAAAGCTCTGTATGCACTTAGCTGTTTTTGGGGGAGGGGACGGCGGGGGACAGCAGAACCCTCTGAAGTTGGCAGAAATGGAGGAGGGGATTGGGGCTGTCTAATGGCTGGGATCCTGGCTGGCACTGAGGTGTGGATGGGGCTGCCAGACACCCTGCATTATCCAGAGTCCTAACATGAGGAAGAACTGTCCTGTCTGAAAAGATTTGTTCCACAAGCACGCTCCCAGTAAGGCAGCACCCAGCCTGTACCTCCTCCTCTGCCCTCTCCCACCCAGAGCCTGTGTTTACAACTGAGCTGCTCTGTGGGGATGCTGTGAACACTGGTGGCAAGCAGCCCTATGAGATTTGGCCCTCCAGGCCAAAGGCTTCCTTACCTGGACATTTCCTCTTGGACAGAACACTGGTCATCGGGGAGCTCGTCATCACCATGCACACTTGCAGACAAAGAGATGAGACTCAGTTAGAAACAAGGAAAGGCTGCAGGTGTGGTGCAGGGCGGCACATAAGGACTTTCACACACATGACCAATCCCCTCAAAAAGGGAGCTGGGGAGGAGACTGTGCAGACTGCCTAGAAGGGTCCATTTTTCTCTCACAACAAACTGGATAGAAACAGGGTTATACTGTGCCAATCACCAAGAACAAAACACTTCAAATCTGGATAAAAGAAGGAAAAGACTCCATGACCTCAGTGCTGGGGGGGGGGGGGGGGGGCGCGGCGATGTCTTGCTATTTCACTAACCTGCTCATCCATGTCTCAACAGCTGCTAATGGGAGGTGTCACTGTCCACTTGAAAAGCATTATAGCAATATTTTTTCTTTTTAAAATATTATTATTATTATTATTATTATTTGGTTTTTTGAGACAGGGTTTCTCTGTGTAGCTTTGGAGCCTGTCCTGGAACTCACTCTGTAGCCCAGGCTGGTCTCGAACTCACAGAGATCCGCCTGGCTCTGCCTCTCGAGTGCTGGGGTTAAAGGCGTGCGCCACCACTGCCTGGCTATTTTCATTTTTTTAACAACATAATACAGATTAGTACATGCAAAGCACTTGCACTGAGTGGCTCATGGTATTAATTCATCCCATACCCTAGCAAGACTATTACCATCCCCATCTTACTGAAGTAGAAACAGATGTAGGTAGGCTGACTCAGCCCCAATCAAAAGTGGTCAGAGCCAAGTTTTATATTCAGTCTGGGCTCTGGATGATTCCATCAAACTGCTCCTCCATGCAGAATATTAACACAGGCATGAAAGCTGGCTTTGCTTCTTTAAAAGAAAACGTTTCTGTGTGTGTTGGGGATGGGGCATGCACATCCTGTGGAGGGCTGAGGACAGTTACGTCAGCTCTCTCTTTCGACCTTCATACGGGTTCTAGGGTAGACCTGGGTCACCAGGCCTGTGTGGTAAATGCCTTGACTTGCTGAGCCATCTTGATAGCCCTTTTGCCTAGCTTTCCACTCACATCCCTTCCCTAGGGCTCTGAACAAGCCACTTGCACAGACTTACCTGCATTGGGTATATTTCCACCTTCAGGAGAAGATAATGTGAGCTAATCACACCATTCAGGTGCATGAGGTTACACATGAAAAGGATCAGAAAGGGGCCATAGTCTACAATCAGTCTTTATTAGACATTCACCTGTGCTGAAAGGTACAATATAACCTATGCAAATCTGTGCCCCATTCTTTGTATGAATTGTTCATTTGGTTCACTAACTAGGGGGAGGTTTTTTTCTTTAAATCCACACTTCAAGTATAGATCGAATATGCATGTGTGGTGATGAGACAGTGTGGCTCTAGGCCACACAGAAAGCAGATAACCCAGGGAGCTGAGACATCAGATGTAAAGGGCATTCCCATCTTTCCCCAGTCCTGCCAGCTATGTGGCTGGCCAAGCTGTAATCCATGATCCATGGCCTACAGGCCCCACAGCCTACTTACTGTTCCTGGGTCTTGTCCTCCAGGCCATTAATCTCCGAGTTGTCCAGGCTGGCACAGAGGTGCATGTGGAGTGATTTCATAGCAGGCACCCCTCACTCACTCACCTCCTGTGACCCCTAAAATTTAAGTCCTGAAGCCTTAACCCCTCTGTACCTTACAACTGGCTACATCTAGAGGCAGGACCTTTAAAGATAAGCCATTACAGTGGCCCTAATCCATTCTCACTGGTAACCTTACAAGACACACCAGGGATGGGCAGGTACAGAGAAAAGGTCACGTGAAGTCTAGTGAGAAGAGTCCATCAGCAAGCCAAGAACAGCAGGTGCAAGGAAAACCCACCCTGCTGACATTTTGGTCTTTTGAGCTTTGCACTTCTGGCACTAAGGGAATGTATTTTTCTCTACTTGCCCCACCCAGGCTGTAGTATTTTGTTATGATGTCCCTTGCAAGCTAAGAATTAGATCCACTTTATATTTAAGTTACTATCTACTGGACATGCTCAGTAAGTGAATGCAATAAGCCAAAAAACTGTTTAATATTTTTAATTATGATTGTAAATTATACAATTTCTACCATTTAGTATTTTGTATAAAACCATTTTACAATACACAAGATTTTCAAATGCAACAAGAAGTATCAAAAACTACATGTATGTGCCAAGTTTACAGGCTAGGGTGAAGCTTTATCTTAAAAATACCTTCAGGAGAATAAACATCCAACCAGTTCTCTCAGCTTTAAAAATATGATTAGAAATATACAATTTAATAAAATATCAAGACAATGATTGATCAAATACTGATTCATCAGTTACACCTTAAAACTTCACTTAATCATCTGTACATGAGTGTACAATAAAGTCTTCAAACAATGGATGTAAAACTGCAGTATTCTAATCTGATGGACATGTCTATCCACAGTGAGTTCTATTGGATCGTTAAGGAGGTAATTTCTTATACAGTATAGGCAAGTCTTTTTAACACACCTGTAGTATTTCCATTCAGTGATATGAGGAACACTCAGATTTAAAGGGAGATGCAAGACATTTCAGTGGAAGAGAAATAAATCTTAAAGAAAATAGGTTTTAAGGTTTTTGGCCAACTGCTTTCTAAAATGTGGCAAGAACTTTTAGAAAATATATGAAGAAAAGCAGCTGTTACTTCTAGGACACACACCAAATGAACAAATATTTGTCATAGACAGCGATTCAAGCTAACAGAGGCCTAAGGAATTCTAGGCACAAGTTACTCAGAAAGCTGGAAAGGTCTGTTAGACCTAAAAATACTCCAAGAGCCTCATGAGAACACTTGGGAAAGCCTCTATGACCCAAGCCAAGAGGTAGAAGCCACCTGTGGGGTGAGGTGATAGGGCATGGGGCGGGACAATGGTTAGGGCTGATCTCGGGGGTCAAGTTACAGCTGGGAAGTTCTGAGGAAGAGCAGCACACGGCCATGTGAGACAAATACTGCTGCCGTTGAACGTGGCGCTGCTCAGGGCCCATCCTTCTTGCCTCATGGCAACAGAGTTCTAGTTGGGCCTCAGAACTGTATTAATCTGTGAGTCCTAAAATCCAGCTCTGCAGACATTCCTCTTGAACTCTGGGTGGTCTCAGTCCCCCAAAAGCTTCAAGGGCACCTATACATGTACTTTCTAATTTTAATTCTGCTAGAGGAGGTTCTGATGCACTTTCAAAGCTATTTAAAGTTCTTAAATTAAAGGGGCCCCTGCAATCAACACTCACTGGTTCATGCCCTGTAGCAGCAGGGTCTTCTAACCCAGCAGGTTCTGGGTAGTTGTAGTTGGGGAGGGGTTGTGCACTATTTCACAGCAGGAAGGATTTTCCATTAGTCCGATCCAGACTTCCTGGGTCCTAGGTGTCACCAGTCAGTGCTGGTGACTGTCCATCCCCAGAGTTATCACCTCAGAATCTGGAGTAGGTTTTCCTGGGAATGTGTCCTTACCAACTCACGTTTCCTAAGTAACTTCAGCAAGAGAGGGAATTTTAGCAAGAGCCACAGTAGTAGCAATTCTAGCTGAATGGAGCCGCCAACACAAAGGGGCAATTTCTAAAAAGCACTATGGTTATCACTGAAGCCCAAGTGGTTTATTCCCAAACTCAATCACTTTGAACCACAGTGGGCAGGCCCCGTTCACTCATCCTGATACACAGGACAAATCCAGCTTGGTTCAGATGGAGGAAAAACTATCCTAAGAAGTTGCTACTTTAGACTCAGGTACAGTCTGATTGAACATTATCAGTAAATGAAATGTTTGTCCTCTTACCTAGGTCTTAGCTGCCTTTCTCCAGTGTTTAACTGGGGAGGGACTCTTTGTGTGGATTCTACATTGACATTCCCAGGCCCCCAACCCAATGTCAGCCAATGCCACAGTTTGAGGAGAGAAACACTGAAATGGGGACCCACTGTCTTTCTTTCTTTCTTTTTTTTTAAATTTACCAGACTTTAACCTGTTCATTACAACTACAAGGAAGGCTGCTTTTCAAGCGGGAAGCCTGGCACATTCATCTGTCTTAGGAAGGCATTGGCTCTCAATGGCTTTCAACATTGCATTTTTCCAGTCTTCAAACTGGGAAGAGTAAAAACCATTATCCTCTATTGTGGACGTAACTAAGACAACCATAAAGTATTCTCTGATTATTAGCTCTGTCTTCTTCTTTTTGGCAGCAGATAAATTCTGGCTTTGCGATTGCTTCATGGCACAGGTCCGGCTGGCTTCCAGCAGGGGTGAAGAGAGAAGGCACACTACAGTTTCTAGTCATATTCCCTAACCCAAGGCAACAGTGAGTTCTCTTACACAAACAGCCTAACTCCAGAAGCAAGCAATTGTCGCTGAAATCAAACTGTGAATCACAAGAAAAAAAAACAAAACAAAACTCCACAGCATTACGGAGAAAGACTCTACAAAGGGCTGACAATTTTGTTTTTAAAGCCACCATTATTCAGGGTGCTTTTCTAAGACAAGCAGCACTGCTGTTTGGTTTTAATGTACTGGAGGAAACACAATTCTAATGTGTGACTGAGCAACCCAACGTCCCAGTCCCGAAATCTTCATCCTAAATGACACAGGAAGGACTTACGTAACCTTTCAACTGAGAAAAGGTTCAAATATTCTATCAACATTCTTTAGCAGGTTTTAGTAACCACAACAACACATAACAGTGTTTAAATGCAGTTTTCACAGATTGTTATTAAAGCACTCTTTGGTGAAAGACAAGCAGCTTGGGTAATTCACACAGTGAACATCACAACAGTATTAACAAGAGTAAAGTGAAACTGATTGTACCAAATCATATCTTAAGAAGGAGGGTACCATTGGAGAGATGCTCATCTCCTTTCATGTTTATAAATTGCAGGACGGGGTCACAGGCTGAACAAAAAATAAATACACCAAGAGACCTCCAGCACACCCTCCACTCTCCTGAAGGCCAGCAGCTAACACGATTGCCATCACAAGAACACACATATACCACACTCACCAGACAGCTCTCTGTGGCAGAGGGCTGGGTATTGACACCTGAGACTAAACTTATAACAGCAGCTTTCATCCAACTTGAGATTACAGAAGGGAGAGTCCAGCCCTCAAATGGCTCAGCCACAACCCAAAGTCAGTAAGTGGCTGAGGGGCCAGTGATGTTTTCTTCATTGAATGAACTTCTCATGTGGAAAGAAACTAAGGCTTTTGCAGAGTCTGTTTTGTTCTCAGATGATTGGCTAAATCCTGTTGGGGTTTTCTGTTCCCTGGAGTGATGGTCACTGGGTTTTTACTTTAACGCAAGACACTCTTAGTCCTTGAAACAGCTGGACTGAGGAGAAAAAAGAAAAAGATTTACCATGAAGATTTAAAAGTGTCCCAGAGGGAGTTTTCAAAGACGAGGATGGCAACATAAAGAGAGTACTGGCATGCGAAGAAGCGCGTACTTAGTGTAGTTCTGACACTCTTACAGAGACAGGACAACGTCAATCAGACACGAGAGGAAGACAGGGTAGAGGAAGTCCAAATTTCATTAAAAAAAAAAAAAAAAAAAGCAATAGAAATAAACAAAAACAAGTGTGAGCAGGTGCGGGCAGCAGAGCAAGGCAAGGTACCATAACGCCAGCATGGGCATTGGCTGCAAAGCGCTCCTCCTCTTTTCCCTCCAAGGAGCCAGGCTGTGGGGACAGGAAAGAACGGAAAGATAAAGAGGGTTACTGAGTGGTTCCAAGGTCAGAATTTGATCACAGAAAAAGCTCCAGCGCCTCAAGCAGTTTCTAGTTTTGGCAGCCCCTCCTTCTCAGAGTGCTTGGCCTGTCTGTAAGGAGATTTGGGCAGGGACAGCCAAGGGCCCCTCTGGGCTCATCAGAAATCAACCTGACTCAACCTTCCTCTCTTCCCTCCTCCTCAATGTGTTGTTATTCTTTAAACTCATCAGCAACTTTCAGAGGAAAAGAAAACGAAAAGAAAAGACAAACCCACTCACAAAACTACTGATCTGGAGGTGACCCTCACTTGGCTAACAGAAGACTCATCTGAATCAGGTGTGTAGTTTTACAGACACGAGCAGAGTACTGAGTGCACAGACAACTGGCAGAGCTAATCAAATGGAAATACATCTGGAATTCCAAACGGACATTACTTTAAAGTCCAGAGGGGACCAGCACTTAGAGAGATAACATCCTGGGACTCCTAGAGATAATAGCAGATGAAATAAGAAACCCCGGAAGCAATGGAACAGGAACCAGCGGCTGAGATCCCGAGAGCTGTGGTGCAAAGGCAGGAAAGACGGCCATGACTTTCACAGCGAGGACTTACAAAGGCACACGTGTTTATGGTCTGGATAAGTGATGAAGGACCCTGGGCATCACACCATGTAACAGGATAACTACAAGCATTAGGGTGGTTTGGAGGCAGGGGAAGAGTGATGGTTCCCAAAGACACACTTTAAACATAAAGGTCACTTGGACATGACAGATCTTAAGAAAATGAGATGAAATAACTTAAAAAACAAAAAAAAAAAGGTTCAAAAAGAAACTTTAGAAGCTTCTAGAAACATGCAGCAATGAAGTATACTGTCCAACTGAGGAATCTGCAAGTCTTCCACTTGGAGGTGTGATGGTGTTCAAGACTCATTCTGAGAATGCTTCAGAGTTAGTGTGGAAACACTGAAAAAAAGCTAACTAATTTAGTCAATTATGAGCTGTTTTAATGGATTTATGGTCCTGATAGGAAATGGAAAGTGTGGAAACCCACAAACTTCCTTCTGAATCTGACAAATGAAAAGGAGCCACACAAGACATCATCAGTGGGAGCCGAACCTCTCCATCCCACACAGGCTGTGTGCGCCACGATGTCTGGGCATGGCTTCTGTCCAAATGGACACACGACATAAGACAGGCACTGACATGAGAAGCACAGTGGCTGTTCTCTTCCAAAAACAAACACTTCCATCCTAACATGTCCACCTTTCTCAGCCTGGTCTTTTAAGAGAATGCGTTGGGAAAAAGTCTCTGAAGTTGAAGTGTCTCTTGGTAAAATGTCAAAACTCATGAGTCAACTCAGTACAAAGTGATGTTTGGGAGAATCTCCATCCTGGAAGCCTCAGAAAACAAATGGGCATGTGGGAATGACGTTTCCATGGGCCACCGCAGAAATGCATGAGTACGTGGACCTGTAACAGACAGGGCCTCTCCTACTAAAGAGCCAGGAGACCTGGTGAGCCTACACCCCAAGGGAAGACTGATGGACACTGAAAGAGAGCGTAATTTTTATTTTGAATGTGGTTCTTTTTTAGGGGGTGGGGGTGGGGAACTATGAGCCTGTTTTTCCTGGGTTACATTATATACCAATGTTAATTCCTTTAATATCCTCCAACCAAAAGCTGAACTTTATTCAGCAGACACAAGAGGCTGTGGCCTGGAAGTCTCTGATTCTCCTTATTTCCTAGAATTAGTGGAATGCCATACACAGTTGTGTGCCTTTCTTTTGTAAGTTGGAGGTGATAATCGTTAAGGTAATATGGATATAGGCCACAGCAACCCCAGTCCCAATTTCTTTGGTTTCCAATACCACCCCAAATTCCTGAAAGGCACTTTGGGACAGTTCATTTAGCCCAGCTTAGAATACTCAAAGCATCCAGTCCAGGCCCTGGGGAGCAGCTCACTAAAAAAAAAAAAAAAAAATCAGAAACCACTCTCCAGAGAGGAAAAGTGGAGGTCACAGGAAGGGTATGTGAAGTCAAGAAACCTAAACAGAAAGACTAATGCACAGTCAACCCTCCTCAGTGGAATATGGTATGATGTGAGTCAAAGCTTGGCTAGAATTCTACTTCTCAGAATCAAATGAGCAAGTCTTGTTGGACTGTTAATGGAAGCTTGATCACTTAGACCTAAAGAAGGTGTTGACGATGCCAACATCAACACCATGCCTTCTGACCGGTTATTGTTTTGTTTTGAGATAAGGTCTCACTGTGTAACCCTGGCTGGCTGGACCTTGCTATGTAGATTGGGCTCCCTGCCTCCTGGGATTAAATGCCAGCACTCCCAGGGCACTTTTGACAGTCTGACTTCACATAAAAGATATGCCTATTTCCTCAACTTAATGGGAAAGTTGGAATCTAAAACCTTAACTGTCCTACCAAGCAGAATCAAGAAGCACAGGAGTTTGCTTGTTTCATTTGTATGCATACTTAAAAATTTGCATACTGTAAATAATTATGACAATACATTTCTCTATATATGGCATAATGTATATTTACAAATTGGAGCTATACCTCAAAGTTTTACATGGGACTTTCACTTATTTACTCTCCTTTCTTTTTTTCAGGAGCATTTATCTAAGTTATTAAATTTTCTTTTAAGACATGACCCAGGTTGGGGATTTATCTCAGTAAATGTGGACTTGCCTAGTCCACATGAAACCCTGAGTTCTAGCACCAGCACTATCAATCAATCCATCAGTAAATAAATGGCTCCTGATTCATCTGGCACAACTCAGCCCATCTCCTATTTTTCTGTTATAACACTTGGACGCTATAATACACCTAAATCTGACCTTTTGTCAGTGTTCTAATTTTCTTGTCAAGTTAGAACCACAGAATAAAAGGAACATGAATGCTTAACTAATTACCTAAAAATTTAAAACAGGGGTTTCCCCTTCTACAGGACCTAACCTTCAGTCTGAACAGCTGCAGGGACTCCAGCTCCAGGGAGTCTAATGTTCCCTGGCTTCTGTGGGCACCAACACTCCACACATATAAAATCCCTAACTTCTGAGTCAGTGCCTGCCTGACAATTCTCAGGGACCCACGCTGGTTCTTTGTTCTGTTCTCAGGAGACTCTAGCTCCATAGTGAAATTTTACAAAAGACTCAGCAACAAGGAAAAACAACAAAACTCAAAGCATTCCTTAGAACCGCAAGTACACAGAGCTCTTGGGACACAGTGGCAGTTGAGTTCACCTGAGATGAACTTACACTGACTAAGTAATAAGGGTGAAAGCCTCCAACGAACGGAGACGCGCCTGGTAAAAGCAGCAAGGATGATGTAGAAGAACATGGCCCAGATTAACCTCAGAGCTATCCATGTTGAAGAGAAGCACTGCCACTGCCAGGTGATGGCTCCGGGCGCCAGCTCTCTACGGCCGGGAAACAGCAGTGGTGTGGTCTATTCTTCCCTCATCAGCGGCTGGGTCTCAGAATTATCTTAAGAATTACAGGTGGAAAATGTTCTCAACAGAGCCTGGCGTCAGGTCTAGAGTCTCAGGCTCCGCCACGACTCACTGAGCTGTACCCGACAGACACCAAGGGGCTTCCTCCAAGCCCGGAGCACTCGGGAGAAATTCTAGGGCCACACCCTCAGCTTCCCCATATCAACTTTCCCATATCATGCCAGGGACCACACTTCTAACACAAGGAATTTCCTCTGGACAGCCAGTAACACAGAAGCCTCCACCTTCCCGGGACATGAATCAGTCCCAGGAGCAGGGTCCAAAAGAGTGAACTGGAAACAAACGGGAACTTCCCCGAGTTTGGACTTTTCTCACCTTTTAAGACTGCTTTTCCCCGAAGCAGATCTGGTGGTTCGTTTAGTAATGCCTGAACTGCCAGAAAGATTAGATTCAGGGGTTTTACAGCTCTGAACACGGGACTGAAGAATTACTCTGAAAACAGTTGGAAAAAGGCAAGATTATATTCACTAAAACAACTTTTCAATAGTTGACAGAGGAAGGCAATTTTGCACTTTGGTATAATTATTTGTTTTGCAAATTGAAGAATTTTCCACAATCACATTTGCCACTTATACACAAACACCAACCTTGAAGCACATTTTACACCAAGCATCTCCTTTTTCCTTGAAGGTTATTTGGAGGTACTCAGGTGCTCGGTTTTTGGGAAATGAATGGCCTGGCATTTTATGCAATTCACAAACCAAAGAAATCTACTAGTCAAACCTGTCTAAGTAGAGTCTCAGATTTCAAACACAAAGACAAGTCATAAATCCCATATTTTTTAGTGTCTGAATATAAACTTAGCAAAACAGCTACATAATATTCACTGGCCAGAGCAGAAAGTAGATATAATAAACAACAAAGTAATAATTTTATACGCCAATGAAAATTTTAAATACATTCAAGCAAAATTTCAGTTTTGTCTGCCTCATAACTATTTACCAAATCTTGAATTTATCCCTTAAATGCCGTGAAAATTGTCTTAATTAAAACCTCCCAGGACAGAAGACTGCTCAGAATGAAAAATCATAAATCAGAAAGAACAGGCCACACAGAGCATGCTCTCTATAAGTAATTCTTATTAAACTGTCAGAGGAAAAACAGCAGAAAACATCAAAAGATGTTGGCAGGTCAGTCTCTGCTTCAGAACCCATGCACTCCTTTATTTCCTTCAGTGTTTGCTAGAAGAAGGAGAAAACACTGACTTAACAGCTTCCTCTTTTGGAGTCAAACTACAATCGGGAGAGCCAATAACAATCTGTAAGAGCCCAGCTCCATGAGAGTAAAAATAAGTAATTTCAACTAAGGAAGAGTCTGCTTTACAGGCCTGTCATGACCAGGGTGATTGACACTACTGGTCCTTCTAATGTAGCAAAGGTTCCAAAGTTCTGATGATGGTGGGTTACTCACAGCAAGGGCAGCCAATCACCTCACTGCTTGGCTTACCAGTTGTGTGAGAATGGGGAGCTGTTAGCTCACCACTGTTCTGAAAGTTCTTCAGCTTCACAGGCAATGCAGCCCTGACTGAATCTGCCATGTCATGAAACTGATCTGAAATTCTCTAAGTAGAGATAGCAGATGCACACACAATTGTGACTCAAGAAGGAACCAACTGTCCAAGACATGAACCCAGCTCCCCAAAACAGGATTTAGTGAAAAGTTTTTTTTAAGAAATGACAGGCCGGGCGGTGGTGGCGCACGGCTTTAATCCCAGCACTCAGGAGGCAGAGCCAGGCGGATCTCTGTGAGTTCAAGGCCAACCTGGGCTACCAAGTGAGTTCCAGGAAAGGCGCAAAGCTACACAGAGAAACCCTGTCTCGAAAAACCAAAAAAAAAAAAAAAGAAGAAATGACATAACAATTTAGTATGCATGTAATAATCATGCACATGTATTGGGCATAAGGAATCACTTCAATATGTATATATATAATACATAACAATAAGATGGAGTAGTTGGTTCATCCAGGGCCTCATTACCATCCCTAATGTTGGGAACCTTCAAGGGCCCCTCTCCTTAAAAAATTCTTTTAGTTGTCAATCACAATTACTCTGTAATGAGCTGGATAGAACATTAACGCTACTTCTCCCATTCAACTACTAAAATTTCTTTCTGCTAACACAAATCAAGGAGGAAATATTTATTTATCCTTCTTAAGGATATGAATCTAGAATTTTGCATAAAGTCTACCAAACCCATCTGCTGATTCCCAGGTCTCTGTGTAGTGTGTACAGTTGACTGTCCTCTGCTGCTTCTTGACAAAGGGTTTTTCTGAAACGTCACTCCTCCATTTCAGATCATTTGAAGTCAAAAGCATGGATAGCTATCATATTATAAGGTCATTAACACACACACACACACACACACACACACACACAAAAAAAAAAAAAAAAAAAAAAAAAAAAAAACCAAATCAGGGTACTGCCTGCTCAGGAAATCTGCTTCTGATTTTTCTGATTTCTTAAATTACTGAAAGTTTAAGTGCTATTCAAAACAAAGAACTACAACTCAATCAAGAAGTATTTCTTAGGCTGGCTGAAAAAATATTTTTAGAGCATTAATTTTTCTATAAAATAGTGGAAATAATTATATTAGTGGTTACTAATTTCTGTGGAGCTTTGAAACACAAAAGGAAATTTAGTATACATTACCCACACCAGGGAAGCCTCAAGGTTATCTGACATGAGTGAGCATTAGTGCACCAATGCAGTGGGAAAGCTCCAGGACTACACTTACATATTACCAGCAAGAGGCAAAAGTAACTCAGAGAGGGCAAGGAAGCCAAACTCAAGTGGGGTTTTACCGCCACCTGCCCTCCTCACATGGTTTTCTCAAGTAACATGCAGAATATACACTTTTCTCCTCTCTATCTGCCCTGATGAAATTTGCATTGGTCTTCCTTAGTATGTGCCCAAACCATAGACCACTGCCCTCTCTGTGGTCTCTGGAGCCTCAGCAGCTCCAGATGTTGGACAGTGACAATGTGAGACATTGGCCTCCAAATGCCTGGACGTCTTCCTAAGGGACCACTGCCACAGAGCTTTTTGTATGATGCCCCACAACATCCTTCACCTTTCTCTAGTGGCACCATCCCCCACGCATGCACCAGGCACAGAACATTAAATGCTTTCTGGTCTTATGCTCCAGGCCACCAGCTATTTGATTCTGAGTGGTTGCTGTGCACGGTTCTCTTACCAGCAGCTCACAGCAATGGCTCATCACAGTGGAGCAGTGAAAACTGTCTGTCACTCACAAATTAAGCCTCTTTGGAAGAAAGTGACCAGGAACTAGTGGCTACAAAGATCACACTTGTTACTTACCTCAGCTACAGAAAGTTTTTTGTGTTTGTAAGTTCAAATCAGTAGGCAGGCTAAATGGAATGCCCTGTTTGGGTCCTGAAATGTGGTGGTGACACCAGCCACAGGCAACCTAACTATCTTGCAGAGGACATTGAGGGGGAAATCCCCAGCAGAAGCAACATTTAAGCTGAAGACATTTGAGCCTGACGACAAATATTATTAGCAGCAACCCCACCCATTCAGAACATCTTGACCACTTGGAACAGTCTGAGAAGAATAAACTATAAAAGGTATCACTGCTCTTCAGTCAATAGGTAGAAAAAACTATAGAAACCTGAGTGTGAATATGAAACTATAAACTCACCTAGGATAGTCAAGGAATTGCCATAAATAAAAATGTGTTCAATGGGTTTTCTTTAATATTAAAGAGTGGGATCGGATTCATTTTTTATCCTTCTCAGTCATATGAAAACACTCAACAGAACCACAAAGGACCAGGGTTGGTTGCAATATGCTTTTACTTTGGAAGAAATTCTAGAAGGGAATTCTGCATGCTTTGGTAATTTCTAAGTCCAAGCTGGGACAAGAAAAATCACTTTTGGAATGAACAGAAGAAAGGTTACAGAAAACACACAGATATGGGGTGTTGTTGTTGTTGTGGGACACAGTCTCCCTATGTGGGCCTTAACTGTGGGGTTCCACATGGGCATTTCCTGCGACATTCTGAACAGAAGAGGACAGATCTCAAGAGAATACAGTAATTGTGTATATAATCTAATAAAGACAGTCTAGCTACTTTTGGGAAAAGAAGAGAGCAGAGTGCAGAGACTGCACGGCAGGAAGAAGCATGAGCACGAAGGCGACAGCAGCCCCTGCCTCCTATTCTCACTTAACACAGAGGAAGGTGTGACGTAGACTGGACGGCTCTGCACACCAAAGCAGGTGACCTAAGAGAGCTGTTCCATGGGTAGAAACCAGGCTGTAGCCCTCACTAGCCCTCAATGCTACAAAACCCAATCTTTGCTTAAAGAAGAAATGGTGAGAAAACCCATTTGACTGGGGACATATTCAAGGCACAGAACATGAGAGGTGTACACAGCCCCTGGTAGAAAGGAGACCAAACTAATTAGCCCAACTAACTAAACATTTCTGATGTCCATATTTATAAATAACTAGTACAACTTTCAAAAATAGATGTTATTTTTAACATCCTTGGCTTAAAAGGATCATCATTGAGGCTCTCACCCACTGCTACCATCCCATTCATTGAAAAGATTCAGAAAGAGAACCCTGGAAAATAAGCAAACCAAAATAGCCAGGAAAGCCAGAAGGAGAAACACATGCACCTTGAGAACCACACTGGACGACAGGGGAGGGTAGGAGAGATATGGAACAGGAAACTTACACAGCAAACTATCTGTCAAAGGGTCCGGATGGCTACTGTGTTCTGAAGCCATCAAGACAGAACAGCAGGGTGGGAAGAATGTAGTCACACACAATCCACCAGATGGCAACACTACACAGTGCAGAGGTCAGCACAGCTAGGGGGCATCTGGAAAGGGCGGAAGGGGAAAGAACAGATGTTCAAATTGGGAAGCCAAAATAAATCATGTAATAAAATACACAGAGCCACCTGTGGCTTAAGACACCCTAAAAGACCCAGAGCAGCAACTGTGATGGCAAAGGGGTGGGAAACAAGGGTGGTGGTGGTGGTGGTCCGACTTCTGTTGAGACAAAAATGCTGACTTTAGTTTAACACACAGGAACAAATGGTGAGACTCCATCTCTATTGGATAACCACCCCACCATACTGATTTCCAATACTTAAGCTGGCCACAGTCAAATATACAGTATGCTCGTATAAAACACTACACCTGAGTACAGGGAGAGGAGGAGGCAGAAACAGCCCAGACTGTCTGGTACGATCAGCAGGTATGACTGAGAACAAGGAACTGAGCTCGTCAGTTAGGAGTTCAGGTGAACTGCACACTCGACAGTATGGACTGCAGAAGCACACCTGAGCAGACACCATCAGCTTCATTACTGTAGTCACACTATGTATGACTTGTTTTCTTTACACAACCTGAGGTGATTTGAAAGAGTTGGACCTCACAGCCTTGGGCATTTAAACTCTTAGTTCCCAGTTGGTGAATGGTTTGGATAGGTGTAGGAGGTGTGACCTTGATGGGGGAAGTATGTGACTGGGGGTGGGCTTTGAGGTTTCAAAGCCTCTTGCCATTCCCAGGTGGCTCTCTCTGCTTCCTGCCTACAGCTCAAATTTGAGTTTCCATTTCCGGTTCCAGCTGCCAGGGCTGCCACTACGCATGCTGTCGCATTCCTGTGATGTTGATGGACAACCCCCTAGAACAGTACGTCCAAGTAAACATTTCCTTCTTTAGGTTGCCTTGGTTATGGTGTAGTATCATAGCAATGGAAAAGTAACTAATACACACTCAAACTTCGATATTTATTTTCCTGTCACCTCCTGTTCCCTTCTTTCTTAAGACAAGGTTTCTTGTTGCCCAGGCTGACCTTGACTTTACTATGTAGTTGAGGATGGCCTTGAACTTCTGATCTTGCTGCCACTACCTTCCAAGTGCTTAAGTGCTGGGATTACAAGTATGTACCACATACCCAGTTTTGGCTTGGTGTTTTTTGTGTGTGTTGTATGTATTCACATGTGAACACATAAATTTATGGATGTGTATGGCAGAAAGAGGTCAATGCCAGGGTCTTCCTCAATTGTTTTCCACCTTATTTGCATTTATAGTCACTGACTACAATGTCTTCTTAGTTGGTAGTGGCATGCAAATGGGATGTCTGCACTATTGATTTTCATTTGTTCCTCTGGTAAAACTCAAAGCCTAAGAGTTATTTTTCTTTGTTGAAATGCTCACTTGTCTTTTTTGCACTGTTATATTTAAGTGATTTTTTTTTTTCTAAAGTAACTGTATGTTTCTATCTAATGACCATGTAGGACACAACTACAACCCTACCCTCCATGCATTCTTTCCTGTTGATCTAACACACATAGTTCATGGCACACAGAGTGATGGGCAATCTGGTGTCAATACTGTCAACTTGACAGAATATAGATTATTCAAGATACAAGCCATGTCTGTGAGGGGTTATCTAAGATTAGACTAACTGAGATGGGAAAACCCACCTTGAGTGGCACCATCCCAAAAAAGAGAAAGTGGGCTGAGCACATACACGCATCAGATGAGGTGTGAGCAGACCTCCTCAGTCTCCTGCTGCCTGACTTTTCCACCATGATGAATTATACTGTAAGCCTAAATAACACCCACCCCCTCCAGTACTTTAACCACAGCAACAGGAAAACTAATACAAACAGAATTAGTTACTAACAAGCCAGCAAGTCAATTTTAACATGGAAAATACACTTGCCATCCAGTCCTAAAGGTGGATGCCATGGTGCTAATGAGTTACCAACCTCACGGAAGTCAGCATCGGGCAGGCTCTCCAATGAAAGGGCTACTGTACAACTTCTAATAAAACAAACTTCTCTACAATATTGGAATTTCCTAAAAAAAAAACCCAATCACTAGGAGAGACATTTAATATCTAACTGTAACCTCCTCCTAGGATTCATCTGGTTCTTTGAGTATTTTCCTATGTCCAAGTACCAATATGGAGGCAAATAATTTATCAGCAGCAATGCATGAGTCCGGTTGGGAGGTAGGGACAGAAGGAAGTGGATTACCATGCTCCCCCAAAAGACTCCAGTTTTCCAACCACTAAATGGCAGATTAGGAAAATTTGAGCCTAGAAGTTTGCTATCCATATGGAGAAGAGGGCAATTTGAGGGTGTTCAGTAAGATCCAGTCACTGGAGAGTGCTTCAGCACTCACCGTCGTTTGTTCCTTTTTTCACACTGGTCGGGGAAGTATACTAACTAAACAAATGAGTCCTTTCACCTAGTCTTTTCCAGCTCCCTCACTCTCCTTGCTTCCTTCCTTCCCTTCCTTTCCAGCAGTGAAGAGAATTAAATCCCAGCCCCCTGCAAGCACTCTCCCACTGAGCTCTACCCAAACCCTCCAGCTGCTTTCATTCAGCCATTCTGAGAGCATCAGACTTTTAGCTCAGACAGCCTCACATACTCTGCTGAGTGAGGAACATCTGAAATCATCTGCCAGTTCCAAGGGTCTTTAAATTTTAGTCTTCATTTGCTTTTCTATTACCATATACCCAAGGCTATCAATTGCATAATTTCAGCTTCCCTAAGAAAAAATTATCACTAAATAATGAGTTCCAGAAAATACATTTCTAAATAGAGGGGAGAAGGTGAAATTTCCTGAAAGTTCTATTTAACAAGAACATATATATATATATTTGTGTGTGTGCATGGGCACCTGCAGAGAACAGAGACACCCTGGAGTTGGAGTTACAGGTGACTGTGTGTTGCTTGGGTGCTGGGAGCCAAACTTGGGGCCTCGTTAAGAGCAGCAAGCACTTTAGCTGATTAACAAGAACTTTTGACCAAACAGAATTTGTATCTCCTAACTTCTAACCTGGCTTCTGAAAGTAGGGTAAAACAACCTACTAAGAAATAAACTGGCAATGGACAGTCTTAACACAAAAAGTGTGTGTAACCCACAAAAGCATCACCTTCCTAGAGCTTGCAATTCAAAGGGCGCCGTGCCCCATCTCTCACTCTGCCAGGAGCAAAGGGCAGGCAAAGAGGCTTGTTAGAAGTAAGAATTTCGATCCCCCTGCCCAGTCCAACAAGAAGCTGCATTATAAGGTAAGCTCCCACATGACACTCCCACATGATGCAAAGCTCAGCTAGGAGGGCTGCCAGGAGGCAACACGGTTTGAGTCCAGGATTTGAACACTAGTCGTGGACGTCCCCATAGTTGGATCAAATTAAGATAAATGCTTAAGAAGCTCATGTGGGGATAAAAACACCTACTATGAAACTTCTTATTGTGCTCCTTGTCTACAACTAAAACTCAGTTCTCCAGACCAATATATACATAAATAATTTGGGTATAAGTTTATCATTATATATAACATACTGAGATGATATAATGACTTTAAGACATCATTCGACAATTGACTCAATTCTACTGTGTGCAGACTGATGACTGACATGTAACCAGCTTGATAACTATGGCCAACTGTTATCCTGGTCTTGACATCTGCGGTTACTCACTTGAGGGTGTCAAGCTGACTGACTATGGACAAAAGCTTTCCTAATACTGCTTTCTTACCTATCATGTCTCCCGAGGTTACACGAGAACAGAGAGAAATGAACAGCTGAGCACCTCTAGATTTTAAACCACACAAGTGATCATTGCAAAGTAATAGGTGTGCAGCTAGGGAGAAAAGTATGAAGGAAAAATGTCCCTAAGGGACCCACACAAAATAGACAAGTGTGACCACAGTGAAGGAAATCACTCACGTGAGGGGGATAGCGTTGGCTTTTGACTGTCTCCGACTTTTCAAGGCCCGAAGTCTATCTCCTTGTGTCACTCCATTGATTTCATCATCATCACTATACTGTACCAGTTAAAACAATAAAAAACAGAAAGAAAGAAAACACTGAGCTATTAACATAGGTTGCAACTGAAGTGAAATGGCTATTTATCTAGACACATACAGGCATGCATGTAATGTGTGCATGCGCGCGCGCGCGCGCGCGCGCGCGCACACACACACACACACACACTCAAAAGTTTCTTCTGAATGCTACAACAGTTTTCAAAAATCAAACTACCAGCTATATTTCAAGACAATCAAAGCAGATTTTCAGTCACCAGACCCAAAGATCTCTTTTTTTATAAAGGAGTAACGATCCCTAATGGGCTTTTGGTTTTAGAACTTATAAAAGTTTGAACATCCATTCATCACCCCTTAACCTAGTGTTGCTGCCTGCTAAAACTGTGGTTCTTTGGAAGTTCTCTATTTGAACTACTAAAGTGGCTGAGATGAGGATGGGGCAGTGAAGCAGGGGAGTAGAAAGACCCGTGCGAAGAGCTTACTCCCTACTGCTAATTTCCATCTGTGTTTAGGAAGTAAACATTCTACAAGCACACAACTTTCTTTTCAGTCAAACATTTTTAGAGGATTGTATCTAAACACAACTGTGTGGTGATAGCCCCTTCAAAACCACTTTATTATCTTTACCTATAATTTTCTCCATGCCCTACAAGGATCTCAACAGCATTTACAGCAATAACAACAGCGTGATCGGGACGGTTCCATTACCGGCTCAGGCTCTTGCTTGTCTTGATTCTCAAGCCCATCTATTGAAATGTCATCAACATCTGAGAGTTGTTTGGAGAAGGTTGTTCTCAGGGGTCCATTCTCCTGCCCTCTCAACTTTTGACGGAAATATTCGCCTTCCAGCCAGAGGCTTGACTGTTTCCTAGAGTGTTTAAGCAACATCAAAACATAGCTTTCCATAAGGACACCCCTCTTCCCCTATCTCTACCCCACACTCCTGTCGTTACAGGAGACAAGCTTCCGGTGTACTTACATGACCAGAAACTGCTGCTGGGGCCCAATCACTGAACCGGGTCTGCAGATTCTAAGCCAGGCAATGCTCTCGGCTGCCGTCATCCTATAATGCTTCATGAGGTAGCAGCCTATCAGAGTACCTGTTCGACCAAGGCCAGCTAGAAAAACAAACCAATCAATGAAACCTGGTTGCACATCCTCCAGAATTTTCTGAACAAGAGGAAGAAAAAACAAAAAAATTAAAGCCTTCCCAGGGCTTTGGCTCCCTCTGCAGAGGTCCTCTACATCAGTCAGTCTGAAGAGGTGTAAGAAGGCCAGCATGAAGGCTCACCCTCAAGACCTAAGTGGGATGCAGCCCAGGAGCAGAGACTCAATCCTTCTAAAATTCCCCGAGGATTCGATGTGAAGCCAAAGACTGAGAATCATTTTCTGAACAGGGATTCTTAAGAAATGTGGTGTTTGGAGCTGGAGAGGAGACTTAACAGTTAAGAGCACGTATTGTTCTTACAGAGGACCCAGGTTCAGTTCCCAGCACCCACTATCAGGTGGCTCATAACTGCCTGTAACTCCATTTCTATAGGAGATCAGATATCCTCTGTCTCAAAGGCACCTACATGCATGTGGTACACATATTCACTCAGGCACACACACCACACATGCACATAAATAAAAATAATTTTTAGCCAGGCGGCAGTAGTGCACGCCTTTAATCCCAGCACTCGGGAGGCAGGCGGATCTCTGTGAGTTCGAAGCCAGCCTGGTCTACAGAGCAAGATCCAGGACAGGCACCAAAACTACATAGAGAAACCCTGTCTCAAAAAACCAAAAAATAAAAATAAAAAGTTTTAAAGTGTTTTCTACTCAAGCCTTACATTTTCTATCAAATCCAACAGTATTTCCTACTCAACGTCTGTCTGAACCTGTTCACACTCTGTTTTAGGGGAGGACATGTTAGACAAGCACTCTGCCAAACTACAGCCTCAACCTTTTCCCTTTTCTGGAACTCTTCCTTCTGTTTTGTATGTGTCTCTGTATGTGGTGTGTACATATGGTTGTATTTGAGGGAGCACGAAGAAGCCCTAAGCAGAAGTCTAAGAGTCTTCCTTAACTGCTCTCCACCTTATTCACTAAGGCAGGGTTTCTGATTTGAACCTGAAAGATCTCACCCACATGGCTGGTCTGGCTAGCTAGTCTGGTCTGGAAATCCTGTCTCCTCCTTCCCTGTAACTGTCGATGGGCTACATGACCATCTAGCATTTATGTGTCTTCTGGAGATCTGAACTCCAGTCTCATAGTTGGCGTGACAAGCAGTTTAGATGCTGAAACATCTCCTAAGCCCCCTTTTCTCCTCTTATAGAGACCATTATAATTAACTCCTATGATGGTTAATATGTTGTGTCAACTTGGAAGGAATTTTTGGTTAAGATCAGCATTTCAACTGGTTCCATTTTTAGTAAGCACACTTATTATGCTTTCCATAATGTGGGCAGTCCTCTCCCAATCCATTCAAAGTCTGAACAGAAAAAAAAAGACTAGCTTTCCATCCAAAAGCAGGTCTGCCTTCATGCCTCTAGGCAGACAGCTCATAGCACAGATGATGGATTCACTGACTCCACAATTTCTTTTAATAAACCATTCTATATATAAACATGCTATTACTTTCGACTGCTAGAGGACCCTCCCTGATGCACACAATTTAGAAAAGGGGTGCCGCTGAAGCAAATACATAAAACTGTGGCTGTGGCTTTGGAACTGGAAATGTATGGGAAAGAACCAAGGCAGCTGCTAGGAAAATCACCCCAGATGAGAGTAAGCAATAAACAATTTCAGTCTCCTGCCACCCACAGTGTGACAGTGGCTGTGGGCTTTTTATACATGGTTTTTATTATGTGGAGATAGTTCCCTTCTAGCCCTACTTTGTTCTCAGTGGTTTTATCACAAAAGGGAGATGCCAAATTCTGCCAAATGCCATTCCTATATCAGCAGAGACGATGTGGCTTTTGGACTTCACTGTTACCGTGGAGATTCACACTGACTTTTTCTATGTTGTATTACTTCTGTAACTCCAGGGCAAGTGCTTCAGAGAGTGAATACTATTTTACTATATTGTATTATCTCAGACAGGTCTCTTGTACCCCAGACTGGCATCAAACTCACTATGTGGCTAAGGGTAATCTTGAACCCAGCGTCAGGACTGCAGGTGTACACATGGCACTCAGGCTATGCAGTGCTGCAACCAAACCCAGGGTGTCTCGTTTGCAAAGCCAGCCCTCTGCCACGGAGACCCAGCTTCCTGGAATCCATTTACTGTGCTACTGAATTCAGCTGGTAAACACTTTGTTATCACGCTTACGACACTGACAGTTTCTTTGCTTCTGTTGGTTTGGTAGCAAGGGAATCCTGGCCTCATACAGCTTATGAGGTCTTTGTTCTATTAAGTTTTGAGTACGTCTCTGAGAGTTGGTGTTAGTCACGGGTGATGATCTGGTCCAGCGTTTTCCTTCATCAGGAACTTCAATTCTACCTTCTCAGTGTTTTGAACTTTAAACCCACCTTCTACATTTCATGGTGACTCTGCATTGGTAGGTTTTGTGTTTCCAGGAACTTTCCACTTCATTTCCATTATCCAACTTTTTGTTCTGCAACTGTTCACCGCAATCTCTTACTGGTTGTTCACATGTGTTCACACACACAGGTGTCCAGCTTCATCACTCTCTACCTTATCTCCTTGACACAGAGTCTCTCAATGAACTTAGAGATTGCTGGTTTCAGCTAGGCTGACAGGCCACTAAGCCCGGCAATCTTCCTGTCTGCCCCAACACCACCCCCTACTTCCCAATGCAGAGGTTACAGGTACATACAGCCATGCCTAACTTTTTACATGTGGATCCAAGATCAGGTCCTCTTATCATTTCCACACTTTCCATTATTGTCCCCACTGTCACTTCTCATTGTAATAATTTCTTTTTTTTTCTTTTTTTTGGGGGGTTTTTCAAGACAGGGTTTCTCTGCGTAGCTTTGCGCCTTTCCTGGAGCTCACTTGGTAGCCCAGGCTGGCCTCGAACTCACAGAGATCCACCTGTCTCTGCCTCCCAAGTGCTGGGATTAAAGACGTGCGCCACCACTGCCCGGCCTCATTGTAATAATTTCTAATAATTTTCTCTTTTATCTTCACCAATGTAAAAAAATGTTTGTGATTTCTGTTAGATTTTGTGAAGAACCAATCCTGGATTTTGTTGATTTCTTACTGGTTTCCTATTTTTTTGTGTGTTATAGTATTTATATTGCAATAGCAACAATACTTAAAAAGCTATTACTATTCTTTAACCTGTCTGTGTGCGTATTTACCTCTACCAGAAATACTTGCTTCTTCATAAGGCTTTGAGCCACTGTCTGGGGTCCTTCCACTTCACCTAACACAGCACAGGTCAAGTTGTAACAACTCCCCCAGCACGTGACCATCTGAGGGTAGTTTAATTTCTCCTTGTTTTTGAGAGAGTTTTGAAGACTTAATGGACTCTTGGTTGTAGGGTTTTTCCTTCAATAATTGAATTATTATCAATTCACTGCCTCTGGCCTCCACGGTTTCTGATGAAAGATCTGGTAATTAGAGTTTCCTCTCTTGATTCTTTCAGTATCTCTGTATTTAGACAGTCTCATTATAAAATATCTTCATGTGAGTTTCTGAGTTTGTTTTGTTTGGAGTTTGCTGAGTTTGGAGAATGTTTACAATCATGTTTTTCATCAAAGTGGGAAAATCTTCCAGGAAAACAGTCTACCTCCTTTCTCCACTAGGCATATCTGGTCTGCCGGTCTTCTGCCAGATTTTTCTCCTTTCTCTTCCTGACTCCTTTTTCCTTATTCTTCAGACCTGGTGACTTTTTAATGGCTCTGCTCTTTACAGTCACTGCTTATTCCTTCTGCTTGAGCAGGTCTGCTTTGGAACCCTGCCAATAATTTTTTAAATTTATTTCCAGAATTGCTTTTACTTTTTATGGTTTTTATCTTCTACTGATACTTGGATTTTGCTCACACATTTTTTTTCTTCTCCCCCCCCCCTTTTTTTTTAACATGAGCACAGTTGAGGTAGCTGTTTTAAATCTATCTGATCCTTGTCAAGGATAGTCCATGTCCATCCTGTCTCCCCTCAGACAGGATTTCTCTGTCTAACAGTCATGGCTATCCTGGAACTCTCTTTGTAAACCAGGCTGAGCTCAAACTCACTGAGATCCGCCTGCCTCTGCCTCCCAAATGCTGGGATTGAAGGCATGTGCCACCACTGCCTGGCTCAAGGATAATTTTTGTGGATTTTTTTTTTATACTCTCGTGGATCCCCTCCCACTTTACTTTTTGGTATGCCTTGTCATCTTCCACTGCAAAATGAACATTTGGATGTTGTGATTATAGCTACATTCCTAACTCTAGAAATTAATTTTTTTCTTTATCTTACTATTGAATTTTTCTTAGTGATTATATCCCTTGTCCTAATTAACTAGACTAGCTCACATTAAAGTTAAATAAACTCTACTATATTCATATATGCATCATTTAGTCATTCATGGAACATTTAGTATCAGAAATTGTTACAGCTGCTGAAATACATCTTGTCAGATCTTATTCTCCATATAGCAAGCTGCAGTAAGACCTTGTTCTGTCATTGACAGCCAAAGGACTTACCACATAGGCACATGACAGACATCTGAATAAATACACACAAAGGCAATAAGCCTTTGTAGGCTTCCTCATGAAAATAATTTACTATGCTTTTCATATGATTTTAGGGTTTTAAAATCATTCTTTCTGGCCACTGAGATAGGTCAACTGGGAAAAGCACTTGTTGCCAAGTCTGATGACGTGTGTTCCATCCCCAGGAACTACATGGTAAGAGAATGGACTCTCACAAATTTTCTTCTAACACACACACACACACACACACACACACACACACACACACACACACAAGATAATGTCATAGAAAAACTTTAAATCATTCTTTCAAAAATACAGGGTTATGTGCTGTGGATATCGTTCTGTATAAATAAAACACTGACTGGCCAATGGCCAAGCAGGAAGTATAGGCAGGACAAGGAGAGAGGAGAATTCTGGGAAATAGAAGGCTGAGTCAGGGAGGCACTGCCAGCCGCCGCCATGACAAGAAGCATGTGAAGATGCTGGTAAGCCATGAGCCATGTGGCAAGGTATAGATTTATAGAAATGGATTAATTTAAGATATAAAAACAGTTAGCAAGAAGCCTGCCATGGCCATACAGTTTATAAGCAATATAAGTCTCTGTGTTTACTTGGTTGGGTCTGAGCAGCTGTGGGACTGGCGTGACAGAGATCTGTCCTGACTGTGGGCCAGGCAGGAAAACTCTAGAGACAGTCATGTGTCTTTCCATGTAATACAAACAGATACAACACGTATCTACACACATCCTCATACATGTGCACTGCCTGTAACTGAACCTAGCTGCTTACCTTTGCAATGCACTGCAATGGCACCCTCAACATTTTCACAAATTTCCAGGAATTCTTGGACAATTGCCTCAGCAGGGGTGCTGCCATCCGGAAAGAAAAGATCATGGTGATCGAAACCAGCATCCGTAAAGCGCTTAGCATCATACATCCTTTTATTCAGACGAATAATGGTAGTTACATTGTGATTCTTAAAGTATGGAATGTAAGTCTCAGGAGAATGTTGGTGGTAACCTACATAAAGAAATGTACCACATCTTGTAAAATGCAGGAGGAAAATAATGGAAAATAGTTTCACCTGAAAGTGGGTGGAAACAGTGTCTGGATTGGGGACTGAATACCAATTTGATTATAACTGTAAAAAACAAAAGTTTAAAAAGTTAACACCCAGGCAAAACAACATGCTCAAATAACCAAGAGTGGTTAAATCATAAAGACAGAGTCAAGCTTTTCTGAATTCTTTGGTGTCTTTCTAACCTAGGCTGGGTCACCCCTCCAAAGGTAACTCAGGAGCCCCACTCCCAGGAGGTGACCATAGCAATGCTGAGCCCATCACAGACACCCAACCGTACAGCACACCAGAACTCAGGACTTGAAGTATCCTCCTGCCTCACTCAGACTCACACTACTGTACCCAGCTTGCCATTCTAGTTCAAAAGGAAAAAGACAAGGCTATAATGGTTCCATAGTTTTGCATACCACTTTCAAGCCTGGATCTTGAATGAGGTCCACAGAAGGCAAGAAACCGCTCTGGTATTATCCAGTTGAAATCTCCATTTTCTGCTTTCTGCCAATGAAAACCAGCATAATTAACCTTTGAACCACATCTCTCTCTACCTCCCTTCTCAATACTCTAAGAGTTCAAAGCCATTGGCTTTCGCATGTCAGCTGTTTACTAATGAATTTCCAAAGGATTGCTAACCTTCCTATTGTCAATCACTTTGTTTTAAAAGTGTTTCGCTGGGCGGTGGTGGTGCACGCCTTTAATCCCAGCACTTGGGAGGCAGAGGCAGGCGGATCTCTTTGAGTTCGAGGCCAGCCGGGCTACAGAGTGAGTTCCAGGAGAGGAGCAAAGCTACACAGAGAAACCATGTCTCGAAAACAAAACAAAACAAAAATAATAATGATAAAATGAATGAATGAATGAATGAATGAATGAATGAATGAATGAATAAATAAAGAGTGTTTCTTTGCTTAGGTCATCAGTCTAGAAAACATACTCTGTACCCAATACTCTGTACTCAATTATTATATTTCAATTACCTGGTTATCTGAATAAATTCTTATTATAGGAAATTAATTCCTATTAAGATAGCAAACTCACCAGGTGGTGGTGGCACATGCCTTTAATCCCAGTACTCAGGAGGCAGAGGCAGGCAGATCTCTGTGAGTTTGAGGCCAGCCTGGTCTACACAGGGAGTTCCAGGACAGCCAGAGCTGTTACGCAGAGAAACCCTGCCTCGAAAAACCATATATAAACAAACAAACTAACGAACGAACGAACGAACGAACGAACGAACGAACGAACGAACGAACGAACGAACGAACAAATGAACAAACAAGGAAGGAGAGAGAGAGAGAGAGGGAGGGAGGGAGCAAGCTTTTCCAGTGTGTGTGAGGACTCTAGAAGGTCCCCCACCCAGTATCCTAAACAGACAAAGTAACTTCTGATGTAAATAATTTTGACTCCCGGAGTAAAAACAGGAAAAGTGTTGGATAGAAGCACTGTCCCCACTGCTTCTATTTAACAGGAGGGAAATAACAAAGCACACTTTACGTTGTGTGTGTGTGTGTGTGTGTGTGTGTGTGTGTGTGTGTGTGTGTGTGTGTGTAGGACAGAGGACGGCCTTGGTTGTCACTCTTCAGGTGCTGTCCACTTGGCTTTTTTTTTAAGGCAGGGTCTCACTATGTAACCCTGGCTTGTCTGAACTAGCATGCTATGTAGACGAGGATGCCCTTTAACTCAACAGAGCTCTGTCTGCCACTGCTTTCCAAGTGCTGGGATTACAAGCATGCGCCATCATGCCTGCATAACAAAACTTTTAAGAAATAAAAGGCAATTGACCGTGGCGGAGAGAATCAGTGCCAAAAGAGAAAAATCACTTAACAATTTCGGTAATAGAAACACACAGTGCTTCATGTGCCAACTGCTATTTTTAGTATTTCATATACCCAGAAAAAGTATTTTTTAAGTGTGTATGGTGTACATCTGTGTGTACATATTCACATGTGTGAAGGCCTAACGTTGGCATCTGATGCTCAATCACTTTCCACTTCATTTATTGGAACACGGTCTCTTACTAAAGTCAGAGCTTGCAGACTCTACTAGGCTGATCTGGCTCAACCCCTCAGGGATCATCTGTCTCTTTAAGTGCTGGGATTATAGGTCTCAGCCATATATGCCTACCTGCCTGGCTTTTATGTGGCTTCAAGGGATCCAAACTCTGTACAGCAAGTACTTTATCCACTGAGCCCTCTCCCCAGCCCCAAGAAAGTATATTTTATTTTACACATTTAGTTTTATGTAATTTAGTTATATAGTCACTGAAGGGCGTAGCGAGAGACTGCACTTTAGAAACAGATTGGCATTATAAGGAGTATACAGTTGTCACGAGTGAATCTCAGGATATGCTTTATCTTTGCCACAAAAACAGCCCAGATCATCAACAAAACACTTCAATTATACTTCAGACTTCTAAATAAAAAGTTCTTTAGAAATTGATAGCAAAAGCTAATTATCTGTGGACTTGGGATATGAATGCATGGAGTGCTGTCTCAAGAGCCTCCTCTCCTTTTGAGGAAGTTCGCTCAAAATAACTACAACAGGACACAAAGGCAAGAGTCTATAAGCTTTCCTGCCTCCAAAGGGCCTTCAAAACAGTATCTTATTCATCTGTTCAGAGGAGGGCACCTTGAGTCAAGGATTTTTTGTTTTTCTTAATCTTTAAGATAAAAAAATATAAGAGGATATCTGTGAATTTGCCTGCTGGACACATTCTTCTGCCCTGTCAGCTTCTTCTGATAGGGTAGGCCAGACAGGGCCAGAGAATTCAGTCAGGCAATAATAATCCACATTCCCACATGAGTGTCCACATGCATGTGTGCGTGTGCCAAAGGTCAGCTTCTTCTCTACCTTATTTTTTGAGACAAGTTTTCTCATTGAATCTGAAGCTTACTGATTTCAGCTAAAGTAGCTGACCAGTGAGCCCAGGGACACTGCTCTCTACACCTCCCCAGTGTTGGCATTATAGGTGTTTACTGCCACATTGGTCTCTTTTCCTGGGTGCTGGGATCTAAAACCAGGTTCTTGTTGCACAGTAAGCATTTTATCTGAGTCATCTCCCCAGCTCAGCTCCTGGATTTTTAATCTGCAGATTCCAGTAAAATGTTCACTTTTATTTAAAACATTTGGGACTCTTTGTTTTTAGATAGGGTGTTACTATGTAGCCCTGGTTGGCCTGAAACTCACTATGTAGACAGCTGGCCTCAAACTTGCAGAGATCTACCTACTGCTGCTGCCTGAGTGCTAGGATTAAAGGTGTTTGCTACCAGGCCTGGCTATTTGTACTTAGTTTTCATAACTTGAAACAGAAGTGTTCAGACAATACAAACAGGCTATAACAACAGCTGAGTGAGTATACCTTGGTAGACACTAGACACTGCAACTAATCACCTTTCTGTGCCCACACCAAGGACTCCAAACCTGTATCCTCATCACTACAGAAGGTCACCAAGACTGAAAACTGTTGTTAGTTGGTTTTGCTCTTTGATCTTTTGGGGGACCTACCACCCAGCTCCCAAATAAATACACACGGAGGCTTAATCTTATTTATAAATGCCTGGTCTTAGCTTGGCTTATTTCTAGCCAGTATTTCTTATCTTAAATTACCCCACCTACTTTTTGTCTCTGGACTTTTTCCTTTTCTTCTGTATATCTTACTCTCACCCATGGCTGGCTGTGTGGCTAGAAGGCTGGCCTCTACCGTCCTCCTCTCCTTGTTCTCTTCCTCTTTCTTCTTATCCTTCCAGGTTTCTCCTATTTATTCTCTCTGCCTGCCAGCCCTGCCCATCCCTTTTCCTGCCTTGCTACTGGCCATTTAGCTCTTTATTAGACCATTAGGTGTTTTACACAGTCAAAGTAACACATCTTCACAGAGTTAAACAAATACAATATAAAGGAATGCAACACATCTTTGCATCATTAGACAAATGTTCCACAGCATAAAGAGATATAACACACCTTAGAATAATATTCCACAAAGGAAAGGCGCAAAGCTACACAGAGAAACCCTGTCTTGAAAAAAACAAAAACAAAACAAAACAAAACAAAACAAAAAAACCCAAAAAAGAATCATGAATGAAGAACCAAGGTAAGGGTTAAAGAAGTGATGTTTCTTACCTTTCAATTTCATTTTGTTTTTTTTTTCCTTATGTGCATGCATGTCTGTGCATGTTTGTATGTTGGGCGCATGTGTGTGTGACAGTGTGGTACAAGCATGTGAAAGCAGAACACTGACATCAGTTGTCTTCCTTGATTGCTCACATATTACGGGAGGGTCTCTCAGCTGAACCAAGAGCTTGATACACAGACAGGGCACCATGCCCACTAAGTATTTCTGTGGATTCTGGGCATTCAAACTCCATTTCTCACTGAAGCATCTCCCCAGCTATATATATATTACTTAATATTAAAAAAACAAAAAACAAAAAACAAAAAACTTCTTATTCTTTTAGATAGGATAAAAGAGGGAAATTGTGTGGGCAAATAGTAGAATTCTGGTTATAACTCAAATTTCCACTAATAAGTTCTAGATCTTGTGTACAGGCTAATCCTGCATCCTTTTTTTTTTTGTTTGTTTGTTTTGTGTTTCTTTCTTTCCCTTTTTTTTTGGTGACAGGGTTTCTTTGTGTAGCTTTGTCTGTCCTAGAACTCACAGAGATCCACCTGCCTCTGCCTCCTGAGTGCTGGGATTAAAGGTTGGGCCACCATCAGCCACCACCGGCCACCACCACCCATCGGTTCCTGCATCTTACCTGTCCCCAGCACACACACTGCAGAGATACATGTGAATGAGCTTGACTCTGGGAACCATTTTACAAGCACATATTCAACAAAACATCTGGGCCAGCAGGGTAACTTAACAGTCAAGCACTTGCCACACAAGCCTGATGACCAGAGTTTGAGCTCCAGAACCCATGTAGATGTGAAAAGAGAAAGCTGATTCTGCTAAGATATCCTCTGACCTCACAAGCTCACCGATACACATCATACACACACAATGAATAACAACAGTAACAATAATAACAAATAAATTAAAAGCATTATTTTGTACCTAATTTTGTATCTAATATAGATAATGTTGGTCAATGACACCTCAGTAAAGTGTGGAGTAGGGAGACTGAAAAGAGGAACCTGGAACTTACCTCATAGTGTTCATATTCAACGAGATTAAATGCGTTGAAATTAAAGAAGCCGAACTGCATTGCCTAAAATACCAAAGAAAACTTTTAAGAACAAAGGTGTAAATAAAAGGCCAGTTTCCTACCCAATTTTCTACTAAGCACAGGAAATGTCCTAGAAAGTATTACTGTATTCATGTTGAGCATTTTCTAAGGATGTGGGAGTTTTGTTCACCTATTTGTTGGTGGGCCCTATACCACACCCTCAGCCCTAAAACTGTGCAACAAAGCAATTGTGACCCACTTATTTTTATATAAAACTTTGTAACAAATTAATTGCTGTCCAAATTACCCTGCTGAACTCAAAGTCCAGTGCCTGGAAGGAAGTTACTGTACTGTTGGTACAGGATGGGAACTTGGACCTGCATGTGCTAAGCCGACACTGCCAGAGTAGCATTCCCAGCCCCACAGTTACTGTATTGTAGATACATAAACAAAACTTGGAGGAAAAAAGAATTCAACTTTTTCTTTTAAATCAGACACACTCAAAACTAATACTGTATCTAGAATCAAATTACTTAACTCTCTTACTTGTGTCTTATTTTTGTGATGCTGGGGTTGAACCCTTGGCCTCTCCCATGCTAAACAAGTTCTCAACCAACTGACTGACAACCCCAGCCTGCCTCCTGTCTCCTGTCTGTGCCTTTTCCATCCTGTTCATGCACAGAAGCAATGAGAAATTCAGAATGAGCTGTTTATTGGTTTGGGGTCACTTTAATGTTAACTGGGAATGGAGTACTTCTGACCTTACACACCTCTTCTGAAGAAATTCTAACAGAGCTGTGTAGAACACCTTATCTTCTCCAGACACTCACCTTCTTTACTGCATGAAAACAGTCCAGGAGTGTAATATAGAAACTGCAGCTTCCGTAGGCAGCGTCTCTGAAATTCCCAAAGTGTTATTCTGTTAATGCTCTACAGCATACTCACCCCAAGACAAAGCTGACTAGAATTCAATGTCCAATGATCTCTATAGCACAGTTATACTAGAATATTCAAATTTAACTGGATAACTTTTTTCTAATTCATTTATTTATTTATTTATTTATTTATTTAGCTTTATTTTATGTACATTAGTGTCAGATCCCCTGGAACTGGAGTTCCAGACAGTTGTGAGCTGCCATGTGGTTGCTGGGAACTGAACCGGGGTCCTCTGGAGAGCAGCCAGAGGACCATTGAGCCAACACTCCAGCCCCCTTTCTAATTCTTAAGGGTCAAAATTCCAATAAAATCACAAGAGCAAAAGCATCTAAACCTTTGGTAAAACCACTCCACACCTGAACAAAAGCATAATTAGCCAACAGATGGTGCCACTCAAATATCATACCAGCTGTATTCATCAATGCAAAGAGCTGAACTCTCAAAGTGCAGCAGTGTAAGGACTCTGACGGCAACCGTTGACTACTACCACTGACCTCCTAATGTGACTGACAATTCTTCAACCCAGCTAAAGGCATATTGATTCAACCTTGCAAAGAATTCTCAAATAATTTCTTTAAGAATTATGATGGCTCAAGGCATGCCCTACTCAAGTCCCACCTCACACTATCTGAACACACATGCTTGCTTCATGAATACCCTGACCTAAGCCATTAGGAACCATCCTCAATTGCTCTTCCACTTTATTCATTGAGGCAAGATCTCTCAGCAAACCCAGAGGCCACCAATATGACTGACCTTGCTAGCCTAGCTTGCTCTAGGGATACACTGTCTGTCTTTGCTTTCTAAGGCAGGAATTACAGGCAGGCTGTCATTTCCACCCAGCATTTGTGTATGGGCTGTGTAGAATCTAAACTCTGGTCCCCAGGCCTGTGTAGCAAGTGCTTTAACCACTGAGCCATCCCCTCAAGATGCATACTAGATGATCCCAGACACATGAAGTTCAAAAGCAAACCGGCCTAAGTGACAGCAGAAAAGTAACAAGAGAGATCTTTGAGAGGATGGTAACTAACTGCGGAGGGCAGGAGGGATTCTTCAGGGGTAAGAGCCATGTTCTATATCCCAAAGTGTGGCCGTCACACTACATGTGTAATACTTAGCTGTACAATTCAGATTAGTGTTTTGGGCTGGGGTGCAGGCTCAGTGATGTGTACTTGTGTAATGCTTGAGTTCAATTCCTAAGCATGGCACACATCCATGTGCACATGCACACATATGTATGCAATGTTTGGTTTTCTAACATTAGTGCTTTCTTTGCAAATTGTATGTATCAACTTTTAAAAAGGAGAAAGGGCTATGAATACTGAGCAAACACTGAATGAGGGAAAGCACTATGGTTTGTTTGTTTTTATGTGTATAACCTCTGCAAGTAGGTAGTACTATAGTTTCTATCTTCAAAGTACAAACTTAAGTCTGTAAAGGAGACAGCAACAAGCAAAGCTGAGAGTCAGTTCTCTGATAACCAAAGCATGCTATTAACGACCACAAGACAGACGTAGTAGTGCATTCCTATAACCCTAGCATTTGGGAAGTGCAAACAAAAGGATCAGGGAAGAATGCAAACTTTATCCCAAACAAAGAGAAGAGAGAGACACACTTACAAAAAGTACAACAAAAACTAATAAGCAGAGTATTTCTATAGACTACAGTAAGACAAGTATACTCCTTTAGACTGCTTTTTCTCACTAAGACAGAGAATAAATGACATAATTTAAGAAGAAATCATAGGCTACTAGGTGTGGTGTCACACACCTTTAATTCCAGCACTTGGGAGGCAGAGGCTGGAGGAACTTTGTGAGTTTGAGGTGGTCTGGTTTACATAGTGAGTTCAAAAAAAGAAGGAGGAAGAAGAAGAAGAAGAAGAAGAAGAAGAAGAAGAAGAAGAAGAAGAAGAAGAAGAAGAAGAAGAAGAAGAAGAAGAAGAAAAGAAGAAGAAAGAGGAGGAGGAAGGAAGAGGAAGAAGAGGACTGGGAGGAGGAGGAAGAGAAGGAGGAGGAGAAATAATCATAGGCCAGGCATGGTGGCACACACCTTTAGTTCCAGTATTCAGGAGGCAGAGGTGAGCAGATCTCTCGAGTTTGAGGCCAGCCTCATCTACATAGAAAGCTCCAAGCCAGCAAGACATACATAGTAAGAGCCTGTCTCAGAAAATAAATAAATAAATAAAATAAAGATATAATGAAAGAAAAGCAAATTAGAACTACCTAGGGAGGCCGCAGTAGGAAGTGGAGTTGAGGCTGTTTGTGCTACAGTCTAGCAAGGAAGAAAGCCCATTTGCATTTTGGGTCCTTGTGTTGTAAGCTGTGAGAATAGCAACAAGTGATTAACACTTTGGAGAATTCTGGGGAGCAAGGTCACCATTGTGCAACAGCAGGAGATCTAAATGTTTGCCTCTCAGGGATCACAGATAGAAGAATTGCTTCTAACAGACACAAACAGTTGCTCTTACAAGTTAAAAAGATGAGTGACTTACTTCAGCTCAGTGCCTTTCTCTCTTCCTTGTGGTGGTATTGTGTTCCCCGAAATATTGTGCACCCTAATAAACTTATCTGGGGTCAGCCACAATATTAAACATAGAGGATAGGCAGTGGTAACACACGCCTTTAATCCCAGCACTTGGGAGGCAGAGCTAGGCAGAAATCCATGTGTTCAAGGATACAGCCAGGCATGGTGACACACGCCTTTAATCCCAGGGAGTGATGGTAGAAGGCAGAAAGGTATATAAGGTGTGAGGGATCAGAAACTAGAAGCATTTGGCCTGGTTAAGCATTTGGCCTGGTTAAGCATTCAGGCTTTTGAGCAGCAGTGCAGCTGAGGACCATTCTGGATGAGGACTCAGAGGCCTCCAGTCTGAGGAAACAAGACCAGCTGAGGATCCAACGAGGTGAGGTAGCTGTGGCTTGTTCTGGTTCTCTGATCTTCCAGTTCACCCCAATACCTGGCTCAGGTTTGATTTTATTAATAAGAACTTTTAAGATTCCTGCTACAGTTCCTACCCACCTCAAATCACAGAACATTTGGGATAGTCCATGAGGCAACAAGGAAGGGGCATTCTAGCTCAGCCATGGCTCTCCACCACTATATCATTGAATTCTGAACAATGCCAAAACAATGGAAGCCCTGTTTCAAGGAGTAGAGAGGGATCCACAGAGCAACCTGAGGAAGAAACTGCCTTCAGTTAGGGAGACACTCTAGAGTTCATCTACAAGATGCCATATTCATCAGCTTACAGCTTTTTAAACATTTTTTTCTTTAAAATTCTTTCAAGACAATCACACTGTAGGTCGGAGGTGAGGCTGCTGTCCACTCAGAGCAGGAGCATTGCCACTTGCCACCCTCACACACAGCTGCCTGACAGGCTGCGGTGGGTCTACATCAGCAGCCACACCTGCACCTCTGCTGGCCGTACTCCTGGGGAAAGGGGTCAAGTGCTGCCCCAGAAAGTTCCTCCTGTGAAGTAAGGGAACTCCCAGGTGGGTTGCATGGGAGCCTGGGTTACTGGGCACAGTACCATTAGGATTCTCCCCTGGCTACATTACAGCTTGTTTCTCAGCCAAGAAAGTCCTGCTCCACCGCTATCATTTCTAGGGTCAAAAAGAAGGTAAAGTCAGGAGACATTTGAGACTCTGAGGACAGGAGTGGGGATAGGAAAGTCACTGGCATCCAGCAAAGAGGTCAGAAGTGACAACATTCCAAAGGTGTCACTGCCAGGACTCCTGGATCTATGGTGTCATGCCGTGTAACATACCTTCCTGTCAGGACTTACTCCCCCGACCCCAAGAATTACCAACAAAAAGTTCCTGGTAAGGGTATGATTAAATAGATCTACCACATTACCTGTACACTTCTAGTAATGGTAATAAAAACTGCATATTGGCGTAAAAACAGGTTGACCAAGGGAACCAAATCAAAGACCCAGACTTAAATCCACACACCTATGGACACTCGATTTTTCACAAAGAAGCCAAAATTATACAATGGAAAAAAGAAAGTATTTTCAACAAGTGGTGCTGGAATAACTGGATGTCAGCCTGTAGAAGAATGCAAATAGATCCACATCTATCACCTGCACAAAACCTCAAGTCTAAGGGGATCAAAGACCTCAAGACACACCGGGCCTGAGAGAAAAGAAAGTGGAAAATAGCCTTGAATGCATTGGCACAGGAGACAACTTCCTGAACAGAACACAAACAGAGTAGGCACCAGGATCAACAATTAATAAATGGGACCTCATGAAACTGAAAAGCTTCTGTAAAGCAAAGGATATTGTCAACAGGACAAAATGGCAGCCTACAGAATGGGAAAAGATCTTCACCAACCCTACATCCAACAGAGGGCCAATTTCCAAAATATATAAAGAACTAAAGAAACTAGACATCAAAAAAACAAAACAAAACAAAAAAAAAACCCAATTAAAAAAATGAGGTACAGTCAAACTCTACTATAGAGCTATAGTAATAAAAACAGCTTGGTACTGGTATAAAAACCGACATACGGACCAATGAAATCGAATTGAAGACCCTGACATTAATCCATGCACATATGAACACCTGGTTTTTGACAAAGGAGCCAAAACTATACAATGGAAAAAAGAAAGTATCTTCAACAAATGGTGCTGGCATAACTGGATATCAATATGTAAAAGATTACAAATAGATCCATATCTGTCACCATGCACAAAACTCAAGTCCAAGTGGATCAAAGACCTGAACATAAATCCAGTTACACTAAACGTAATAGAAAAGAAAGTAGGAAGCACTCTTGAATGCATTGGCACCAGAGACCATTTCCTAAATAAAACACCAACAGCACAGACCCTGAGCACAACAATTAATAAATGGGACCTCTCGAAACTGAGAAGCTTTTGCAGGGCAAAAGACACAGTCAATAAGACAAAAAGACAGCCAACAGAATGGGAAAAGATCTTCACCAACCCCACATCTGACAGAGGATTGATCTCCACAATATATAAAGAACTCAAGAAACTAGACATCAAAATACTGAACAGTCCAATTAAAAAATGGGCTAAAGAGCTAAACAGAGAATTTACAAAACAAGAATCACAAATGGCTGAAAGACATTTAAAGAAATGCTCAACATCCTTAATCATCAGAGAAATGCAAATCAAAACGACTCTGAGATACCACCTTACACCTGTCAGAATGGCTATGATCAATGACAGTCAATGTTGGAGAGGATGTGGAGCAAAGGGAACACTCCTCCACTGTTGGTGGGAATGTAAACTTGTACAACCACTGTGGAAATCAGTATGGCGGTTTCTCAGAAAATTAGGAATCGAACTACCTCAAGACCCAGCCATCTCACTCTTGGGCATATACCCAAGGAATGCTGATTCATGCCATAAAGATACATACTCAGCTATGTTCATAGCAGCACTATTTGTAATAGCCAGAACCTGGAAACAACCTAGATGCCCATCAACAGAAGAATGGATGAAAAAAATGTGGTACATATACACAATGGAGTACTACTCAGCAGAGAAAAACAATGACAGCATGAAATTTGCAGGCAAATGGATGGAACTAGAAAAAATCATTCTGAGTGAGGTAACCCAAACCCAGAAAGACAGTCATGGTATGTACTCACTCATAAGTGGATTCTAGATATAAAATAAAGAACAATCAGACCACAACCCATAGAACCATGGAGGCTATATATATATAGCATGGAGGTCCCTAGGACGTCTGTGGCATATAATAAATTTCAGTTTTACTCAATTATTGAAAAAAAAATAGCCAAATGAATGGAAACACAAGAACTATGAACCAAAGGCTGAGGGACCCCCAGATGGATCAGGCCCTCTGAATAGGTGAGACAGTTGATTGGCTTGATCAGTTTGGGAGGCAACTAGGCAGCGGGACCAAGTCCTGTGCTCATTGCATGAGTTAGCTGTTTGAAACCTGGAGCTTATGCAGGGACACTTGGCTCAGTCTGGGAGGAAGGGACTGGACCTGCCTGGACTGAGTCTACCAGGTTGATCGCAGTCCTGGGGGGGGGGGGGTTTTGCCCGGGGGGGGGGGGGGGGAGGGGGGGGGGGGGGGGGGGGGGGAGAATAGGGGAACCCGTGGCTGATATGTAGAACTGAATGGTATTGTAAAATAAAATAAAGAAAGAAAAAAAAATGAGGTAGAGATTTAAACAGAGAATTCTCAACAGAAGAATCTCAAATGACCGACAAACATTTAAAGAAATGTTCAACATCTTTAGCCATCAGGGAAATGCAAATCAAAATGACTCTAAGATTCCATCTTATACTTGTCAGAATGGCTAAGATCAAAAATACAAGTGATAGCTCATGCTGGTGAGGATATGGAGCAAAGGAAACACTCCTCCACTACTGGTGGGAGTCCAAACTTGTACAGCTACTTTGGAAATCAATATGGCAGTTTCTTAGAAAACTGGGAATCGATCTACCTCAAGACCCAGCTATACCACTCTTGAGAATATACTCAAAGGATGCTCCATCTTTTTTTTTTTTTTTTTTTGGTTTTTCGAGACAGGGTTTCTCTGCGTAGTTTTGCGCCTTTCCTGGAGCTCACTTGGTAGCCCAGGCTGGCCTCGAACTCACAGCGATCCGCCTGGCTCTGCCTCCCGAGTGCTGGGATTAAAGGCGTGCGCCACCACCGCCCGGCAGGATGCTCCATCTTACCACAAAGACACTTGCTCAACTATGTTCACAGCAGCATAGCCAGAAACTGGAAACAACCTAGATGCCCCTCAACCGAAGAATGGATAAAGAAAATGTGATGCATTTACATGATAGAGTATTACTCAGCTGTTAAAAACAATGGCATCATGAAATTTGCAGGCAAATGGATGGAACTAGAAAAAAAATCATCTGGAGTTATCTTGAACCCAGAAAGACAAACATAGTTGTACTCACTGTATAAGTGATATCAGCTGTAAAGTAAAGGATAACCAGGCTACAATCCACAGACCCAACTCAGAGAAGCTAAATAACAAGGAGGGCTCAAGTGGGGACGCTTGATCTCCCTGGGAAGGGGAAATAGAATAGATTTTGCAGATGGTCTAGGGGCAGGTAGGGATGGGAATAGGAGGATCAGGTTAGGGTATGGGGGTAAGGATGGAGGGGGAGGGGGAGGGGATGGGGTGGAGGGGAAGAGTACTGGAAGAGACGACTAGAAAATGGGGTGAGCATTTCAGGGTGAGGTAGAAACCTAGTGCAATGTAAACTCCCAAGAATCTACAAGGGTTGACCCTAAGACTCCTAGCAACAGAAGATAAGTAGCCTGAACTGATCATCTCCTATAAGCAGGCAACACTTCCAGTGGAGGGATTGGAATACCAACCCAGCAACATAACCTTCGAACTACAATTTGTCCTGCCTACAAGATGTGCTGGAGTAAAGAAGGAGCAGAAATTGTGAGAATGGTCAACCAATGACTGGTCCAGCCTGAGACCCATGCCAGGAGAAAGCCCACACCTGACACTGGAGCACCAGGATTCAGAGGCTGGATAACTGAGAGACCTAGAATAGAACCAAACACGACTGGGGGGAAGGGGGGAGAGTCAATGTAATGATGCCTAATGATAGTCTGCTATACTTATAGATTGGTGCCTAGCCCAATTAACATCAGAGAGGCTTTATCCTGCAACTGGTAGAAACAGATACAGAGACTCACAGCCGAACATTAGGCAGGGAATCCTGCAGAAGTGGAGGGGGGGATTATAGGAGCCAGGGGGTGTCAAGAAAACCCACAGAATCGACTAACCAGGGCTCACCAGGGCTTACTAAGACTCAACTGACAACCAGGGAGTCTGCATGGGACTGACCTAGGCCCTCTGCATATTTGTTACAGTTGTGTAGCTTTGTCTTCCTGTGGGACTCCTAACAGTGGGAGCAGCAGCTGTCTCTAACTCTTTTGACAGACTTTGGGACCCTATTCCTCCCACTGGGTTGCCTTATCCAGCCTTAATATGAGGAGAAGGTCCTAGTCTTACTGTAACTTGATATGCCATATTTGGTTGATATCCACGGGAGGCCTGTCCTTTTCTGAATTGAAATGGAGGAGTGGATGAGGGGGATGAGAGGTGGTAGGGGGACTGGGAGAAGAGGAGGGAAGGGAAACTGTGGTTGGGATGTAAATAATTATTAATTAAAAAATCATTTAAGAAAAATAAAGAAAAAGAATTATCACCAAAAAGCTCCTGGTAAGGGTCTGATCATTACCTATACATTTACCTGAAAGGGATATAGGCTGTATCTCCAAAGATTAGTGTTCTATATGCGTCTTCTGGAGTCCTTCCCAAATATATAACCTATATTTGGAAAGAAAAGAAAAGGGCAATTTACTTCTAAATGACACAGTTCTGTCACCAAGAAGCAATTTTTACACAAGCTCTAGCCAATTAGCAGAACCAAGTTCTCAGGCTCCAGGATCCTATCAGTGAGTTAATTGTTTCAACCTGCCAGAGAGTGCTCCCCACCACCACATGAACGCTGAGTGCACCAACACTTTAAACAACCTGTGCTAAGAAGTGTAGCGCTTTAAAGACACATTTTCCAGATCTAGGTGTTTGAGTAACATGTTTTAATTCTCCTTCCTGAATATCCTCAAAAGTGAAAGTGGAGCTGGGGAGAGGAGTGGGAGGAGGTGGTAACCCAAAAGCAGGACTGACAAATCTTATTTACTTGTTATTATTATCATCATTATCATTGTGTGTGAATATCCCCATCAGTACTACTACCTTTGGAACTGACATGGTAGAAAGGAGAAAACCAAAGATCAAACTCAGATCCAAAGACTTATGCCTTGCTGGTCCCAAACTATTTTTTAAATTAATTAATTTATTTTTATGCTACAAGTGTTTTGCCTTTGAGTATATGTGTGCACCATGTACATGCAGTACTGAGGAAGCCAGAAGAGGGTGTTGGAGTTACATAAAATTGTGAGCCGCCACATAGGTGCTGGGAATTGAACCCAGATCACCCGTAAAATCAGCTAATGAGCCACCTCTCTAGTTCTCCCACTTCATTATAATATATATATACATACACACACACTCGTGTGTGTGTGTGTGTGTGTGTGTGTGTGTGTGTGTGTGTGTGTGTGTGTGTATTGCAGTGTTGTGGACTGATCCCAGTGCCTCAGGCATGTTAGAAAGGAGCCTAACACTGAGACATACATACTCTTGTCCAAAACAAAGACCTTGATTCGCTCTCTCCATTTTCATTTAGGGTCCTGTGTCACTGTGAAAATTTCCTATTGGACTAACTACATCTGTTTCCTTCTCTCTGTCTTCAGAACTATGGCATGTTTCTATTTTCCTCTGGTAAATACTTCAAAAACACTTATCTCTCTCTGTGTCTCTCTCCTCTCCCCTCTCCCTTCTCCCTTTCCCCCCCCTCTCTTTCTCTCTCTCTCTCTCTCTCTCTCTCTCTCTCTCTCTCTCTCTCTCTCTCTCATGAGACAGTCTAGTGAAGCCTTAGCTGACCTGGAACTCACTATGTAGACCAGGCTGGCCTTGAACTCAGAGATGCACCTACTCCAGTAATATACTATCACACCTGGCCAAACCCCCTTCTTTACCAATTGTAGTTCATGCTGGGATACCTTGATTGTGACCTGCAGTCTTTTCTTCAACAGTTTATTGTTTTGAGATCTTCTCACTGGAGAGCTTCACCCACGTCTCTAAAGAAGCTGATCCTATTCTCCCCGGCCACCACTATCTACAGGGTGTTCCCAAATCCCATGAAGGAACCAGGGACCTACATGCATTCAGTTAGACACATATGAAGACTGAAACTAAATTAAATTCTAAAGCTTATTTATGGAAAATATATTTTAAATTACAATAGTAAAAGAAAAAAATCACATCTAGGTTAAGAGTGTAGTTCAGTAGCACAGTGCAGGGTTAGCAATGCACAGGGCCCTGAGTTTGATCCCTAGGACCAAAAAACAGAATAAAAGAGGGGAAAAAAATCACCAAGTTAATTACAAGCTGCTGCTGCTGCTTTTGTTTTTGTTTTTTCCAGACAGGGTTCCTCTGTGTAGCCTTGACTGTCCAGAGATCCACCTGCCTCTACCTCCTCGGTGCTGAGATTAAATGCCTGTACCACCGATGCCAACTTAATTACAAGCTGCTTCTTCTTCTTTTCTTCTTCTTCTTCTTCTTCTTCTTCTTCTTCTTCTTCTTCTTCTTCTTCTTCTTCTTCTTCTTCTTCTTTTTAAATCATGTACCACTTTTTTTAAAAAAGATTTATTTATTATGTATAATAATAACCACCATGTGGTTGCTGGGAATTGAACCCAGGACCTCTGGAAGAGCAGTCAGTGCTCTTAACCTCTGAGCCATCTCTCCAGCCCCTAATTACAAGCTTCTTATCTCCAGCACTTAATACTACATGTGGAAGTTGTTTTCAAGGCTGGAGGCACTCTGAAGTGAAGGCCTTATCTTCCATCACTTAATTCCTGGTCCAAACATAAATGAATGGACTTTGAAGCTCTGTTGTGTTGAACTCAATGTATTTTTATGATAGTAAGGAACACTTACAATAGTTCATAAGTCATTAATTTAAATGTAAGCCTACCACTGGATTAAAAGCAATTATTTAAGAAAAAATAGTAACAAAGCCAGACATGGTAGTGCATGCTTTCAGTCCCTGTACTCAGGAGGCAGAGAGTTGGATCTCTTGAGCTCAAGGCCAGCCTGGTCTAGAAAGAGAGAGTTCCAGGACAGCTAGGGCTCCATAGAGAAACCTTATCTCAAAATAAAACAAGACAAAAAAGGATTAAAAGACCAAAGCTGGGGAAGGGATTCGTTAGGTAAAGTGATTACTATGCAAGTATGAGAACTCCAAGTCAGATCCCCAGGATCCACGTGAAAGAAGAACACAGCAGGCAGTGCAGTTCTGTAACTGCAATGTTGGGGAGCAGAAGACAGGATCTCTGAAGTCCAGTGGCCACAACAGACTGGCCAAACTGATGAGGCTCAGGTTCAGTGAAAGATCCTGCCTCAAACAATGAGGTGGAAAATGATGGAGGAAGGCACACATGTCTACCTCTGGTCTCTACACACACACACACACACACACACACACACACACACACAAAGTCAACAACAAATGAATAAATCTAGCAAGAATCTTTTAAGCATAAACCTAGATCTTAGAACTAATGATAAAGATTTGATAGCTTCGAGAGGACATTTTAACTATTTTCTGTTTTAACAGTTATAAATGGACTGTCTTCCCAATGTCTGAACTGTTTCTTGCTAGAATTTTATTCCATTTACTCTCAAAAGACCACATACTATAACTGTAATGGTAAATCTTCACTATCAACTGGACTGGGTTTGGAATCATCTAGAAGACACATGACCTCTGTATCTGAAGGCATTTCTAGAGAGGTTTAACTAAGATAAAAGACTTGCCCTCCATGGGCTGAGGTTTTTGAGGAAATAAAAAGGGTAAAGTGGGGTAGGATTCCCTGCCCTGAGTCCTTGTCAGCTGAGAAGTGAAGAATCCCAGCCACACCCCATCATGAACTACATACACCTTGATGGACTGAACTCTCTGCAACCATGAGCCAAAATAAATCCTTCTATTATTGTTTTTGTTATGTAATTAGTCGCAGCAATGGGAAAATCATACACTAACAGACTGTTCAAACATTTACTTATCTTCAGTGGCATTATGAAAAGGTCTAACATAACATCAATCAATCCCAAGAACAAAGAAATGTATTCTTTTTTTTTTTTTTGGTTTTTCGAGACAGGGTTTCTCTATGTAGCTTTGCGCCTTTCCTGGAACTCACTTGGTAGCCCAGGCTGGCCTCGAACTCACAGAGATCCGCCTGCCTCTGCCTCCCAAGTGCTGGGATTAAAGGTGTGTGCCACTACCGCCCAGCAGAAATGTTTCTTAAATCTTACCCATATATCATCAAGTTTTCAAGTACAACAACCAATCTCAGGGATATTATCTAAGCTTTCACTCACTCACTCACTCACTCACTCATTCTTACACATACATCTTTTAAGCAGATAATAACTATTTTATTCTATTTATTTAGGAAAACAAGATATCACTACTTCATAAAAACTATAAATTAAAAAAACAACAACTCCAGCATATGTTAAAAAGACATCTCATTCCTGTTGTGCTGCTTTGTTCTGTTAGCTTACAGGACCTGGAATCGCCTGTGAAGAGAGCCTTGCTAAGGGCATGTCTATGTGGGATTATTCCAATTATTAACTTACAGCAAGACCTAGCCCATTATGGATGACACCAATTCCCTAGGCAGAGGATCCTGAACAGTGAAAGGAAGAAAGCTAGCTGAGAGCAAGCAGACAACCAAGAATATATGCATTTGTTTTTCTCTTGATTGTGGATGTGATCTAAGTTCCTGACTTGACTTCCCCTCAATAATGGACTGTAACTTGCAATTTTAAGTCAAATCTCTTCTAATTTGCTTGTTGAGATATTTTATTACAACAGACATGAAACTCTTACGATCTCCAAGGTGTCTCCTGTCTCTTGCTAAGATTAACCAGTCCTCTAATGTGGACCTGGGATGGCTTCCACAGGCCTGCATCATATTAAAGTTTGGTTCTCAAGCCTGGCAATGGTGACACATACCTTTAGTGCCAGCACTCGGGAGGCAGAGGCAGATGGATCTCTGAATTCGAGGCCAGCCTGGTCTATAAAGCAGATGCCAGGAGAGCCAGGACTGTTACACAGAAAACCTCTGTCTCAAACAAACAAAACAAAAGTTGGGTTCTCAGCTTGCTGCCATAGAGAAGGAGGCAAAAGGGTTTATGTCATTGAGGGTACGGCCTTTAAGGAGACTTCGGGACTTGGCAGTGTCTTCTTTAGTTCTGAACAGACACGAGGTAGCACCTTGTTTCACTGTCCTAACAACGGTCCCCTCATCACAGGCCCCAAAGCTCCAGCACCAACTGACCATAGGCATAAAGGCAAAGCCACAACCCACAGTGAAACTCTCATTACAAGGTACAGTCTCAGGTATGTTTCAGTACTGGAAAGTTGACTAAAGTCCCTTAAACCAAAACCCCAAACTCAATTTAAAAACCCCGCCACAATGACTGCTTCCTAGGGATCATCTGCTCATTGGTACAGACAAAACGGCAAGTACCAACTTAACAAGGGAAAAGTGACTTTAAAACACATTTCCTGTGACACAAACTTAGGGGGCATTGCAGAGTTTGAAGATGTGGGCTGGAGATATGGCTCAGTGGTTAAGAGCACTGGCTGTTCTTCCAGAGGTCCTGAGTTCAATTCCCAGTAACCACATGTTGGC